ATTTACGGAGTGGACGTAACCCAAGGTTGCGGCGATGTCAAATTTGGAGTAAAATACACATTCCGGTGTTTACATCCTGTCATTATTAAATGATATAAACTTTGTGTGAATTTACATCAATTTGACATGTCTGTACTATATTACAACTATGGCATTTCTGAAGGCGGAACGTATAAACTGATGTTTCACTATGATCTGAAGGACAAGTAATTTATTAATGTTTAGAAAATCTAGATGAATAATTCAACATCCTATCTTTATACAGAAATGATGCAGTCAAAAATCAAAATATGCACAAGAAGAAAAAGCAATTAAATTGTTTGTGACATTTTAAATAGGCTATGTATAATTTGTGCAGATCGTGGTATTTAAGCTATTGTGAGAAATGGTCGAATTTTCACGATATTGATGTTGATATGCCATTTCACCAGTGTTAAAGATATGGTAAATATTCTCAAGGCTTTGCTGCAAATATGTTGAACATTGTCTCTTGAAAATTAACATTCACCCTCGTTTTGAATTATATTTAGTGTCTTGAACATGAAAGCATTATCTTGACATTGTATCAGATAAGAATATTGGGACTTCAAGATATTAGTTTGTATTAAATATCTGACAATTCATTATGTTTTTAAGTACCATGTATTCCATGTAGATGTATCTCCAGATGTAGTTGGAAGTGTAAGATGTGATCACAATCATTCCAGAATATTTTAATATAGAACAAGAGAATGCAGAGTTTTGTTCAGTTTAGAGGTCTTGTGTATCATCAAAATTACGCACAGGTGACTGATCGCCATTGAGTTAGATGCGAGATGTTACGTCAAATATACACATGCGAATACGTTCCGATTGCAGTATATTTGCATGTGGGATTGACATTTGTAAACTGTGTCATGTATTAACCGGTAAACGTTGTATTTTAGAAATTTATGAAATAAACGGCAATTTTTAAAAGATGCATTGCAGTGTGGAATATATGAACATAAAGAAGGGACAGTGTTGCATTTTTCCTGGTGTAAAGATGTCTGTCTTCATATGTGTTCCCTTACTTTATTCCTTTAGTATATACCTGTAAGCAAACATTAACCAGCTGTGTAGACAGGTGCAACGATGTTTCAAGAACAGCTTCAATCTGACTGACACTTAACATGTAGAGTTGGAAGATAACGCTTTTGGAATAACACAAGGGGTTAGATGTGAGTGGTGGTGGCGGATAAACGATTAGATGGGCAGTGAGATTGGTGGGTAACGATGATTGCTCTGTTTTGGAGATGAACTGTGGGAGGTGTGCTGAAGGATGATGAGGATTCGGAGTTGATGAAGAACTGTGAGACGTGGATTGATGAATATGATTGGGGTTTAAGGTGGATGATGAACTATGTGAGCTGAATTGATGGATGATGGTGGTTAGGAGTGGAGGATGAACTATGTGGGGTGGGCTGATACATTGAATGCGTTTTCGGTGTGGATGATGAAGTATAAAGTAGTTTTACCGAAGATACATGAAAGAGGTTGATGATGTACTGACTGATCGATGGTGTTGGTTAGGGCGGATGATGACCTTTGAGAGGTGGCTGGTGGAGTTTCTTGTGTGTATGGAGGGGGCGAGGGCAGTTAATAGCAACGTAGGTAGGATGGTTTTCGGGATGTGTAAAATGCAAATAATAAAATTATCGGTGTTGAATATGAACCCGTACACAGTCGTGTGGATGCAAGAAGAGATTAACGTGCACATGACTGTGGGGAATCGAGTGGGGGATAAACTATTTGGGGTAGGGGGAGTTAGGGGGAGGTCAGCTGGTTATCTCGGGAAAAGACAAGGAGGTAGTATCTACCCTTGCAGCAGGCCAGAATATTTCAACACCGGTGATGGAACACAGAGATACGCATCTCGCCTCAACCACAGCCTAGACGTGTGTTGACAGGATTTGTGTTTGTAGGTGGTACTCAAACAAGCTAAACCACCAACTAAACTATCACCAGTAACAACCCCAGTTATTTTGTTCTTTGAACAATTACTGTTACAAAGTAATTTACCCTCAGCCAAAAATATTTTATGATTTCATCGCTACGTCGGAAAGATCACGACGATTTTATAGCTTTTATATAAATTTTATAAACAAAATTATTCATTTCATTGTACAGCATTCTTCTACTCTGCAATTACACAGCAATACCCAATACAGATAGACTGTGATTTACAAACACACATAGGCCCACATGGGCTGTGGGAGGGAGGATCTATTTCTTGACTCGCTGGCGACGAGGATCTTCTTCATTTTGCTCCAATCAATAACAACACTGTTTCAAAATTTACAAAGATATTAGCCCACCTTAATGGGGTGAAGCGGGTCAGAGGGCTAAGCCGCTGCCTGGGCAACAGGGGGAGTGAGAAATCTTCAATGGGTCACTAAACCCTCCTCAGAATGGCGTGATAGTGATTATATCAAGAATGTACAATCAAATTAATAGTATAAATTTGGGCGATATGTTATAATTAAATTATGATACAGAGTAATTTTGTTTATATTCCAGTTTAGCTTTTGAATAGTTTAAACCACGTAGTGTGTTGGATATTAGAACACATTTATTAATTATAATTCATTGCACATAAAAACTAAATCCGCCAAGAAAAGAACTGAAAAACATACCTCTGTAGGTATGATTTCCAGAACCTTTCTTACATCCAAGGTATGATGATGTGTGCCTTAGAGAACTTTACCAAGTATCTAAGCCCATTGCTCCATAATAATCAGTAATACGTATATATAAATTGTTATTTAAAACCTCATATAATACAGCATCCTTTTACTCAGTTTCGCTTTCTCTTTAATGTAAGTCAAAGTAATCCACATTTTTGCTGTACCCGCCATGTTCTAGATTTCGGATTATTAAGATTAACTGGAGCAAAAGTTTAAAAGCATTTTTTTATCTTTATGAAGTGATCTTTTGTACGGATGATACCACTCCCACTTAGATATATCTTTATCTGTTTACTCAGATCCTTTTGTACCTTAACGGGCGTCCAAAGCCGAATTAATTTTATGCTCTTCACGACAGCACGGATGAATCGCCGTAACATTGCAAGGTAGTTGCTCTGGCCCAGCGTTCCTGTGGAACGTTGATGGTTTGCAGTGAAAGAAGGATCTGCAAAAGTGTGAAAACTGCATCATTAAAAGCACGTTAATTCAAAAGTGCATTTCTCTCTGCCATTTTAATATGTTGGACCAAGCGGACAGAACTTGTTTGGTTGTATCGTCCTCATGTAAATGTTTCAGGTTTTATCATCATATTTATGCTTTATTGTATAAGGGCTATGTCTTTTAATGTTATATTTGTTAATGTATACATCATGTTTTACATTTATGAAACATTGTTTATCGTTATTAAATGCATATTAAATACAAACATCACAGTGACATAATTATATTATCATTTTTACTCGAGGCTTGAATAAATGTATTCATAAATGCGCAAACACACGAATTGAAACACTTTTAAATATTGTCTCAAATCGTAAGTCGGTAGTGTTGTCCTTAGATAATGGCTTGCTGACAGAAAAAAATAAACATGTCAGTTAATGCGACTTGATCCTGATTAAAACATGCTCTTTGATCTCGGGATTTTAACACTGGTAACCAAATGAGGTAAATCGAGCAGTGCAGTGTCATGATGATACATACTGTACATCTTCAATTCTAGAATATGTTTAATCACTAATTTATGATGAGAAATTATGAAATACCTTTTGCTTTCAAACGATGACAAATAATATTAAAATCCCTTTTACACACAAATCAAGAAATTTGATGTCGAAAATGAAATAGTTATACATCATTTATGTTGTATTTTAACAGTTTTAGCCAAATACGTATTTAGATCATTGAACAGATATATAACATCGCAAAACAAAATCAATTAACTTTTAACTGAATATCCATTTTCCTTGAATCGTGGACACTATCTGTTTCAGTTTTATAGGGTGGGCATGTGGTTAAATGGTTTGTTCTTCACGACAAAGATCCTGGTTCGATTCTCGACGTGTGTGGAATATGTTAAGAGTCCTAACAAATATGTATCGATCGCTCAGTATATACAAATGTTACTCTTCTCTACGGGAGTATGATATACATGTCAGAAGGACTATAAGCAGCATGTAGCAGTTAGGTCATACTGTTCTGATGAGATCCATTCAGTGTTCCAGAGACACACAGACAGTTTCTTCCGTCTGTGTGCCACATCAAAATATCTTTATCATGCATGCTTCGCTGTGTGTTAAAGATTCATAGTCTGTTTTAATGTTTCGTATGATGGATGTGAAAATGTTTCATATTGTATGTCAGTGTTTGTATGAAAATGTTTCACAATGCGTGTTGATATGTCATATTGTGACTAATTATTATACATAGTGTGTTAGGTCTCTCTATTGTGTGCTTTTGTTCATATTTTGTGTCAATGTTTCATGTAATATGTGTGATAATATTTCATTGTGTGAATATATTTCGTCATATGTGATATCATTCAATTTAAGTGCGTTAAGTTTGTATAATATGTACAATTTCATATTTTGTTTTAAAGTTTGATAGTGTATGTTAAAGTTTGTATGTTAACGTTTCATATTGTGTGTTAATATTTCATATAGTGTGTTATTATTACAATTACATGTTAAGGTTTTATATTGGGTGTTAATCTTTCATAATGTATGTAAATGTTATAAACTGTATCTTAATGTTTGTACGTTAATGTTTCTTAGTGTGTGTTACTATTACACATTGTATGTTAATGTTTCACAGTGTGTCTTAATGTTTCATATTGCAATTGTGTGTTAATGTTTCACATATTATGTTTATGTTTCACATTGTGTGTTAATGTTTCATAGTGTGTGTTAATGTTTCATAGTGTGTGTTAATGTTTCATATTGAATGTAAATGTTTCATATTGAATGTAAATGTTTCATATTGAATGTGAATGTTTCACATCTTGTATAAATGTTTCAGGTTGGAGGAGAACTACTGTATGTGTGAAGGTGTATGCCTGCCGCGGTGCATCCTCTATGCTCACTACCTGGACTTCTGCAGGAAGGAAAACCTTGAGCCGGCGTGTGCGGCTACATTCGGAAAGGTAACTACATCCTTCAACCATTACATCGGCGCTGCAGAGATGCAGAATTGAGTCTACACTTTCATATCAGAACATAGCCATTATTGTTAACTGCATTGGCATACGGATAAGCAACGATGTTCCGCGAAAGCAGTGAGTTCAATGTGTGCGGAAACCTCGCTTATCCAGACTGTAACATTCATGGTGAAATCGTGCAGATTATTGAGTTCCGGATTAATTATCATTACCATGGATTAATGTCGCTTTGTGTGGGAGTTCTACTATCGTCCGGAAGTAGAGATTCCTGGACATTTAGCACCTTTTCTTAAAATTCCCTATCCAGTTCACATCCGTAGCTTAAAATCCAGACCTATAGTGTTATATCTGGAAGCCCACAGACTAATTTAACTTACAGGAACCAATTATAACCAAAGTCTACAGGAGTTATTTCCGTTATCACCAACGTTCGCATCAAAGGGCATTTTGAAAAAATCTCCAATCAAACTATTACTTCCAGAGGTAAATTTGAAAAAGATCTGAGACGTCAACGCAAGAAATATTTAGTCTTAATTATCTGCCGGAATCTGTGCGTGAAAGGAAACACACGGTGTTCGGTCACACACACACACACACACACACACACACACACACACACACACACACACACACACACACACACACACACACACACACACACACACACACACACACACACACACACACACACACACACACACACACACACACACACACACACACACACACACACACACACACACACACACACCACACACCCCAACCGGTAGGTGCCACTCGTAATTTGCATTTAAAATTTAAAAGTGTTTAAAAAAGCCAAGGGTTCGGAAACAGTCAAGTGTCTTCCCACCGCGCACTTATACAGAATTAATGCTAATGCTTAAATAGTAAAACATTCACTTTTGGGCCTATCCACGTTGCCGAATAGACTGTCTGATAGCCGAATGATCTCCAAAGTCTAATTAAGGGAGATAAGCTTGTGTTTCCCCTAAAGTAAATAAATCCAGCTAAATATGGCAATTGGTTTCTGTTTAAAATGGGTACGTCGTCTCAAAAGAGAATTTTTGCTCCAAAAATATTTTCGGCTTGAGTTCTCCTTCCGTATTTTGCAAACTAGCTTTTAAATACTGAGTGTATTTGTATACTTCTTGTTTTCCTGAGTGAAAAACGATCGACGACAATTTCACGAGAGCCGTCGGGACTCAGCGTCCCTGTTGCTGTTGATACTACTTTAACTCAGACAAGGACAAGAGTCAACTGTTTGTCGAATTTGCTGAATTGTTTGAAAAGTACAAGGAAATAAGTACATTTATTCTGCCTTAAGACGGATTTAGACATAACTGCGATTATTTAGATGGTGAGTAATAAATTATAATTACCCTCAGAAAACACGAAACCAGATGTTGAAAACAATCCTTGGTTAATTATTACAAACATATTGAGTTATCCCGCCCGTGTATGTAACACAATCATTGATGGTTTTCTCAATTATATAACATATAATCTCGATATTACCAATGACCTCATGTGATGTGTCGTAGAAAGTTCACGGGTGATATGATCATTCAACATCATTCAGCCACCAGACATGGCTTATATTTGGTTCTTGGACCCTTAACACTATCGGCAATGTCCCTGGTATGTTATTTGCATATCAAAACTGAAAAAAATCATGTTTTGCCCCCAAGAAATACTGCATACATGACATATGATAGATGTCTGAAAAAATGAATTTTAAGTGAAGAATTTTCGGTCTTTTGAAGTTGTGACGTAATAAACATCCTGTCTGTAACACAATTCCCCTTCCGCCCTCCAGGAACATGAAGAGGTGGATCCCTTAAGACACATTCCCAGTTAAACAGTTATATGTTAACGTCATTAAGGAGGTGTTTCCAATACGCAGAATCAGATTAGAATTTTAATCAAGGTAAGGTCAATTACGTCAAAATGCAATGGTCATACGTCGATTTGATACCTTGATGACGTGTGTGCGTGCGTGCGTGAGTGAGTGAGTAAGTGAGTGAGTGAGTAAGTGAGTGCGTGTGTGTGTTTATTAATTAATCAGAATTATGTAAAACCCTAATCATGACACTTTTCCTTGCAGACAATACGTCAAAAAGTTCCCCCACTTGACAACAAGACGTCTCGGAACACGAGGTCACTCCAAGTAAGTGTTGAAAGATAAGTTAACAATAATTATGAAGAACAGCGGCCCTGATTTACTCAAATTTGAAAAAAACAACGCAGGAAAATGCATTTCCCAGAATTAACTCAAATCAATATTTGACAATTTGAGTTTGTAGGTTACTTAAGTTGTGTAGATTTTTTTTGTTTAAAAAATGCAGTTGAGTTAACAATTCAGCAGTTTCAAATTGAGTAAAAACTCAAGTTTGTTTCGAGAAATCCGGGCCAGGTGTATTAATAGGTTGAGGTCATGATGACCAATGCTAGCACAGAGGCAGGATGATTCTGGTGTCAGATCCTAGCTGCCATATGAAAGCCAGAAACTAAAATGGGGATCAGATGATCACAATGGCTTACGATTGCATTTCACTTTGTTGATTTGATACTATCATCCACTGGTTCCTGGCACCCCTAAGGAACATATATAAGTATAAAGGTCTTGGTAAACTTAACATTGTGTCATATAATGATGAGAAAGTGAAAATTGTTTGACGTTCGCAATATTCCCCTGAGCTGATGTAAAGGTCTACCTACACTCTCTGTTGTAGGTAGGACGGTGGGGTAGCCTTGTGGTTAAAGCGTTCGATCGTCACGCCAAAGACCCGGGTTCGATTCCCCACATGGGTACAATGTGTGAAGCCCATTTCTGGTGTCCCCCGCCGCGATATTGCTGGAATGTTGCTAAAAGCGGCGTAAAACCATACTGACTCACTCTCTTTGTTGCAGGTACCACTATTACGGTATTGGGATCCGGGAGACGAGTCAGTATTATCACTCGGTGTATTCGGGGAAAGGTTTGACCAGGTAAGTGTCCCTTTTTTACCACTGTGCTTCTATTTCATTTGACCATATTCAGCAGCTTGTTTAACAAGAATATACGCACATAGACTGAGTATTACTGTACTGAGACTGACACTCTGACCTTGCAAATCAGAGGGATATATATATGTATGAACACTTTGCTGTTGTTCTGGTGGCGCATATGACAGAGTATCATGCATGTTTGCGTTGTGTCACTCCAGCAAAAGTTCACATATTCCTTAAATTACAGTTACGGTCACTATAATATGAGATTTTCCATCATAACAGATTACTAATCTACTGTGATAGCTACAGTTAATTATTTTACAAATGACAACTTAAGAGTTTTCATGTCACTATGGCCCCTTCACAAGCATCAGCTATTTTACAACCGTTTACACACGACTATAGAAGGCAAGAACAGATCTACGTCCTTTGGGGTTCTTGTTTGAAACCTATGGTGGTTCTAAGAGGCGACCAGTTGTATCAAGTGATTAGACTGTGATTTGGTCAATATATGTTCATGATATCAGTCACTGGTTTGTGTGGTCAAGACTGGATTATTTGCAAGCCGCAGTCATATAGTTGGAGTAGATGTAAAACAAAATCTTTGACAATGCGTTGAAATAAAATATGTATCTACCACCTCTATAAAAACCGTTACAAAACGGCAGAGCATTTACAGAGAGTTCTAGCCAGATCCAGCCAGATCCAAATTACTGCGGTTCAGATAAATCCGATACAGTTCAGATAAACATATTAAAAAAAGACCAGATTCAAACATGAGTTTAGATCCCTCCAAATGTCCAAATTTCAGTGATTCAGATAAATAATTTTAGTTCTGATCACTACACTACGAGACTAGCAAAAGTAGATAATCCAATAAACGAGAAGTATCGACAGTTGTTGGGAGACTCCGAGACTTGAAGAGTGTGTTATTGTTGGTAGGAAGTAACCGACACCATTTTATAACAAGTCTTTGTTGTCGCCGGTCTTAAACCCTGTAAAGAGCCTTGCGTGTCTCGCAACTTGAATGTCCCATTGGATAGACGGGGGGATTAACTGAAGGTGCACACCAGGCACTCTGCAGTACTTCGCTAGCCGCCGTCTCACTTCACAAATGCATCCTAAGTGGTTGTCGTATATCAAACCAATCATTTGGTAGAGAAGAAATATCAACATGAGGTTCATTGCTGGCGAAATACTCGTTCCCTCAAGCCCTTGTCTGTCATTGTGAACGTCATTACTGACAAATTTACAGTGAAATTCACACGACTTTAAACTTTTGAAACACTTAAGATTGGTCCGGGGTTACGCAATTGACGCCTTCAAATTGTGCAGGTTCCAGATTTTACTATCCCCGACCTAACATGCAGAAGGTATGAAATATTTACAACTGTTATAGGCCAATCATTGGGTGATTTTTGTTTGCCTCCTTGGTCGCTTCGAGTCCACGTGAAGATTTTATTGCCATGTGTCAACACAGGAACGTGCCAAAACCTCCGCGAGATGAGCATTTAGAGACATAAAAGGAAATATTTGTTGGGTCGTTTTTTGTGGTTATATAATATTTGGAAGTGTTTATGGTTCACAAATCACCCTATAAAGGTATCGGGGGACTTGGTACAAGCCCAAAAGCTCAGCATAAAGAACGGTTTGTCCAGTTGGAATTAGAGCAAGCTTTATTAGTTTTTCAGTTGACGAACATCTGCAGCGGATTAATGCTGCCTTTTTAGAACCTGTACGTTTTGACATCTGGTGTACAGGTCCACGGATATTGCTTCTTTTGTCTCATTAAACTTGGAATCGATTTATTGTCATTAGTGTTTGAACAAGTGTTGACACAAATGAGTTATATCAAGTCAGTTGCTTCAGGATCTATCATGACGACGATGTCGATTAGACAGTGTGACAAAATAACGTTAAGTTGGCGTCTACCATAAACAATGGGTTCTATTTAGAAACGAGATCCTACGAGATTAACTTCAGAATCATAAACGTGCTTGGTATCATTAGAGCGATGACTGATGGAATGGTGTTGAAGACTGTTGGCAACATTCAAGACCGTAAATTATTAGGACACCAGGAATTGGTTCGCAACATGTATTCACGCTGAAACCGAATCTCTCAACGTTTTAAATGAAATCTAGAAGACACTTTGCATAATCATTGGAAATGTCTCCTAAAACAGCGTCTATTAACGATTCCGACCATATTAGAATCATGTGCCTACTAATACTAGATAATACCAAGTGTCGAAAATATTCCTCACCAGAGTCGTATGGCCCTCTTTGAAAATCTTCGTAGAAAAGCCATGCTCGGTTGTGAGATATCTACGCCAACGGCTATAGCGACTGGATTATCAGTGCTCGACATCAAGGGAACATACAGCAGTGGAAGTTGAAAACGTACATGACGTTTTTTGTCATGAATCCTCGTGGGTGGTGTTTTGTCACTGATGTTTACACCTCAATATGAGGCATGAGGTCTCTTTAAAATCTAGTTCAGGGCCCCGTTCCTTAAGGGATCGTAGCGTTATGACTGTCGTAAGTCTATGTTAAAGTATGGGAGTTACGATCACCTTAGCGCTACGTACGATCTCTATGTGAAATGGGCCCCAGGTGCCTAAACAACAAATGCTTCTGAAAGTAATTATGTTAAGTGCTTAAGTAAAGTCAAACGCTAGATGGCGATTAGTCATGGTCGATGAAGGTGAACTACAGTCATTTATATTGTAATACGGCATGAAACAGACGTGGATTTAGTTATCATAAAGTGATAAAGTTAGAAATTATCTATATCAAGATGAGAGTTTACAACATATATATTTAATAATATCATATAACCATGATCTTTCTACCAAAATGTCAAAAGTGTTTAATGACGGTTGTAAGGGTGAGAGCTTTGAATGTGTTTGTGACAGGTAGAGCAGGATACGCTGACATTTTCGTCAACACATGGTATTATTACTCTTTGATCATGTTATACAAACACATGCTTATGTGTCAGAATTGAACATTGAGCTCTGTTAAGGACAAATTTCTTACGCTCATTGAAATAAATGTAATCGGCATTATCATGACGTGAAGGACAAGAAGATTATAGATAATATAAATTATATATCAATATATATATCAATATATTAATCAATAGCAACATTGTCAACATCTATTGTCGAGTGGGACGAAGCTACCAAGGGGCAAAACAAATCTATCAGATGCCACGTTCAAACATTAATGCCTGAAGGTGTGAATCATGGCTTTCATCAGCAAAAGGGAAATATATTTGGTTCTCCTAAAGGGAGGCAACAGCCGCCCGATACAGGTGCACCTGGCCCTGTAATATAGGGACAATGAAGGGGCTTGAAATATAAGCTCTAGAGATAACAGTTTATCTCCTGCACACAAACCGATTTAAACTCATTCATACATACTGTTCCTGAAATCACGCTCAAATCATTCTTATGGGTTATTAATTCATCTCTTGTCAATAAGTTTCCCCCAAACCCCATATATTCCATGCTGTTTCTTGTATATGGGAGATTAGAGTCGAGGCCACCTGGCGGCCATGATGTTCGTCCAGCGCAGCGCCCTCTACTGGGATTTACCAAACCTGCGGGGGTTTTCAGCTAATAGAGCGCCTTAACGCTTTGGCGTGATAAACTTCTTACCTGTGCTTTAACATGAAAGTGTGTCTTCGTTCCCTGGGACATGACTCATCTGTTTGTTGTACATGGGTTCGGAGAAAAATGACTTTGAATACCTTTCTTGTTTGAGCAATAACGTTGTGGGGTGCCTTATTTTTTGCTCTGGTGGTCGAGGCAGATTTGTGATCCATTATTACCTCCGTCATTGAAAGAGAAGGTTATAGCACACTGGCTGTAGCGGGATTCAGTGAGCTTGCAGTCGACATCGACCTTTGGCACTCGCAAAGTTCTATTTTAAGAGAGGTTACTAGACACCAAAGACATAATTTAGTGAGCATCTTGAGTGAGTGAGTTAGTTTAGTTTTATTGTACTCAGCAATATTCCAGCTATATATCGGCGGTCTGTAAACAATCGAGTCTGGACCAGACAATCCAGTGATCAACAGCATGAGCATCGGTTATGGGTTACTCAAGACCAATTCTAACCCGGATCTTCACGGGTCTGAGCATCTTGAGATGAACTTAAGACCCTAGCTCTCTCCGGATATTCAATGCCAGTGCCATTATGTATGAATGTGCTATTGCCAGTGCGGACCATGAAATCCCAGAACCATCGGGTGCAATAGTATGCCAATATGTTATTACCAAAGATGGTCATAATTTATCAATATGTTCGTACACAGGGTACTATAGTGTGAATACCGTCGTTATCAGAGAATGCCGTGATATATCAAAATGCCAGGTCCATAGGATGTCATTTCAATGTTATTATCACGGGGCGCCATGGTATGCCAATATACCATTGCCACAGGGCGCCATAGTATGCCAATATGTATGCCAATATGCCAATATGCCAATATGTATTGCCACATTGCCACAGGGTGCCATATGGCCAATATGCCACAGCATACCATAGTATAGTTGCCAATGGTATGCCAATATGTTATTGCAACATGCCATACTATGCCAAATGTGTATGCCAGTATGTTATTGCCACAGCATACCATAGTATGCCAATATGTTATTACCACAGGGTGCCATAGTATGCCAATATGTTATTACCACAGGGTGCCATGGTATGCCAATATGTTATTACCACAGGGTACCATGGTATGCCAATATGTTATTACCACAGGGTGCCATAGTATGCCAATATGTTATTACCACAGGGTGCTATAGTATGCCAATGTGTTATTGCCACATGGAGTGAGTGGGATGGATGTCTGCGTGCCTACATACGAGCGTGTTTAAGCGTGTTGTGACTGTCAGCATATACTGACTGTATACTGCCTACACTGTGAGTTCTAGCAAGTAGTGAACTCCCCACACTGAGCTGTGGCAAGTAGTAACAACTGTTGTCCCCTGGTCCTCGAAACAGGCCATGTTTACTGATAACATCGCCATTGCTCGAGGGTGACACTCATACACTGCAACTCGTTGGAGTGTGGTATTTAAGACATATTGTGTAGTAAGTGTAATATTTAGTAGAAACATGCAGCTGTGAGAGTAGGAACAATATTAGCAGTAGCAGAGGTAGTAGCAGTAGAAGAAGTAGTATTAGCAGCGGCAACAGCAGTAGTAGTTGGAGTAGTCGCACTAGTAGGAGTTGTATTAGTAGTAGTAGTTGAAGTAGTAGTAGCAGCAGCAACAGCAGTAGTAGTTGGTGCAGTCGCAGTAGTAGTAGTAGTAGTATTAGTAAGTAGTAATAGTAGTAGTAGTAGTAGCAGCAGCATCAGTAGTAGTTGTAGTAGTAGTAGTAGTAGCAGTAGTAGTTGGAGTAGTAGTAGCAGCAGTAGTAGCAGTAGTAGTTGGAGTAGTAGTAGTAGTAGTAGTACACTAGCAGCAGTAGTAGTTGGAGTAGTAGTAGTAGTAGCAACAGCAACAGCAGTAGTAGTTGGAGTAGTAGTAGTAGTAGCAGCAGCAGTAGTGGTTGGAGTAGTAGTAGTAGTAGTAGTAGTATAGTAGCAGCAGTAGTAGCAGCAGCAGTAGTGGTTGGAGTAGTAGTAGTAATAGTAGCAGCAGCAGTAGTGGTTGGAGTAGTAGAAGTACTAATGCCAGCGGTGGCAACAACAACAGTTGCATTATTATCAGCAGCGTCTATAAATATGATACAGTGGGTTAATTAGTTCAGGTTAATACCTCGTAAACAATTATGCATTGAAAACTAAAATGGCAAAGATACTTTCATAAAATCATTTAGTAACCGACAGTCATATATCTGCATGTTTTTATGCTCACGCTCTTAGCAATCAGACTTCTATATCAAAACAAGAAATATCTCCATTAAGACGCTTGATATGGATACATAATCTTGTTGGTGTCTATTTGTGTTTTTCATTCCCACGGAGCTGCCACGCCTTGGTATGCCTTAAATATATGCCATATGCGCCTCAATATGCTAATAGTTATGCAGATGACAACAATGATATTAAGTTGTTATTTTTATATTTCCCAGGTTCTCTGGATGCAAGTTAAAGAACGAGGTGAGTCAATACAACATTAATTGTTTTAATATATATGTGTTTTGTCATTACGCATTCCGGGGTTAGGGCAGCGTTCTTTGCATATTTTGATATTTGTTATCAGAAGACATGAAACGTCGTGATGACCAATCAATATCGACATTTTTGTAATTTTTGAAGCCTGTTTTATCACCACCCTTTGTCCGACAAAGGCCGTCATAAGGGGACGAAAGCATTGAGGGTGATGAACAAAGGACTTATCTACCCCTTAAGCGCCATGTTGACCGCTGCTGTAGCCTCTAACCCACGCACTAAGTAGCCTCATTCTTTTGCTATCCGTCTTTGGCTAGGGAAAACTAAAACATCGATTAAGGGTTTATCTCCAAACTGAAGAACATAGGCTAGACATGAAATGACAAGCATGGCAAGCATTCCTGCCACTTCTCGCTATCCGACGACCAGCTTCCGCGAGACTTCACGATGCTAGTATTGTCTCGCGTTTGGCTCCGAGGCTGTCTGTACCGGAAGTTGCTGACAGGCGGAGCTGTCAGACATTTTGCAAATTAGTTTCGGAGGATGTTTGTAGAGGTGTAACTTCCTTTGATCCTGTTAAAATAGTATAAAATCAATAAAGGTGTTTAACATCTTGTAGCATGTCCGTTTTGCAATGAGTATGCAGTTCGAAAAAACATGTTAAAAAATGTCACCCGGAAGTGGAGACCTTCAGTCTGACGATAAAAGTTTTGAGGATGAGAAATTGATTTCCAAAATACACAAAGGAATGGACTTGAATCTCCGGATTGCTATTACACCTTAATGCAGCTGCGAGTGAATTAGTGAATGTCTCACATATCTGGCTAAAACAAAAGATATTTGTGAACGTGATTCTTTTCCTCAACGATTTATAATGTCTTCAGTATTTTCACCAAAGAAAATCAGCTGAACAAAAAACAAATTACTCATGCCTAAATATGCGAAGACTTTTTCTACATCCATTGAAAGCGTATTTGACAAATGGTAAATGCCACACGGATATTTTCATATATCAACAGGGGTTTTATAATAATTGTCTTTTTTAATCTATGATGTTACCATGCAGTTTAGTTGAAGACGTTCTGTCGGTTGGTGGCAACGCCGGGTACATTTTTCTTTAGTTCTATTTCCGAAATATTCCGACGAGGGACACAAGAAAAGAGATTCACACATTCTACCTGTGTTTGAAATGAAAACCCTGTTGGTCCATTGACTTCACGAACAGACACTGTGCATGTGACCGCTAGGCTACCCGACCACAACCTTATATGCTCAAGCCAATAATGGTTGTCATCACCCTCCCCACCCCAACCCCCACACACCTCACACACACACACACACCCCACCCCCTCTCCAATTAAAAGAATTGAAGGGGGTGACAACCATTATTGGCATGAGCATATATACGAACTACGCTGTTCGGAGTTACGTCAGTCAGACATGTCAGGATACGACGATGATGAGATCGAATCCCAGATTCGCACTTAGTATTACACTTGGTTTGTCTGCACCATAGTCGTGTTCGGTGATTTTACTAAAACCTGTAAGACCGGCATTGCAGCTATGGGTGAGTTTAGTTTTACTCCGCTTTTAGCAATATTCCAGCAATATCACGGCGGGGGACACCAGAATTGGGCTTCACACATTGTACCCATGTGTGGAATCGAACCTGGATCATCGGCGTGACGAGCGAACGCTTTAACCACTAGGCTACCCCAGCCCTCCCATTGCAGCAGTGACGTAACTGCAATATCGTTGAGAACGATACCATACTCACTTACTTTCACTCAGATTACCCTTGTACGAACACACGAGCGATTCAAATGGATTTAATCGTAAATACATACATTGCGGAGATCGATGCTCATGCTGTTGATCACTGGATTGTCTGGTCCAGACTCGATTATTTACAGACCACCGCCATATAGCTGGAATATTGCTGAGTGCGGCGTAAAACTAAACTCACTCACTCACTCACAAAATCCAAATGCATTGCACCTCATGACAGCAAGCATAGACCAAGCAAGGTGATAAGTCAAGTTGAATATGAACCATTGCAGGTGAGATTTACTACCTTGCACCCCTCAATGACACCACCCCGCTTCCTGGAGGCTGTAAAACTGTATATCATCCCCTCAAACACATTTCTCGGGCCGTGGCAGGTTTGTTTTCTGGGGGTGACAAACATTTCACTTAACAAGGGGAATGTTTTTAACGATAACCTGAGATGATTTAAAATGCTATGTCAGACCATTATAAACTGAACAGTCCGTTTTTTGTGACCGTCAGATGGATTATTGTAGTGTGACCATACCTGCTTGTAAGTAGCTGGTGCGAGGTGTTTCACGGTGGGTTTCAGTAAGATAATAAAGATTTCACCGAGTCTGGTGGGACTTTACTGCCTAATTCCGCGTGAGTAAATAAATGAGTATGGTTTTACGCCGCTATTAATACTATTCCAGCATTAACAAGAAAAGGGTTTCACACGTATACGTAGTACAACCCAGAGCCTCGGCTAGACGAGCGAACGCTTTAACCATTAGGCTACCCCGCCGCCCAAATTAAACCTGATTTTTGTGTCCGTATTAGATACCGGTTGTACGGAATTTGGTGATTTTCAATATCTGATTGTTTATGGTAAACTAATGCCAGTCTTCAACTAACAATGATGTAAGACAAATGCGCCAAACGTAAACAAGCACTTTACAGCTGTGTTTTGTGCTTCATTTCAGCCAGATGGTTCGGTTTTTTGTGCAAATTGTGTGAGTGGGCTGGAAATATTTACATTTGTCGCGAACACCTGGTGTCATCAGTCACATTCGTATCACTTTCACTGTTGTTTTACCTTTCGATCCCAATGAAATCGGGTTTGGGGGATAATTGAGACTGGTTAATATCTGGCATTGCACTTTATATTTTAGCATTCGGCAATACATCATCGCTGCTCTATTAACTATGAAGTCCATGCAAAGCGAACTGTGGTCATTTTAGTGAGAAAGCCTGACCACCCAACCCGCAGTTTGTTGGCTCTTGTAACAGGAGCTGACCTTTCCTAACCTTGGGGATGGTAGGGTAGCCTAGTTGTCAAAGCGATCGCTCGTCACGCCGGAGACCTGGGTTCGATTCCTCACATGGGTACAATGTGTGAAGCCCATTTCTAGTGTGCTGTGATATTGATGGAATATTGTTAAAAACGGCTCTTCTGACCTAGAATCCCCACGTGTTTAAATCGTTAGAAAGATAGAATTCAGATCGGATACACAATATGATCATGTGTGGCCGTATGGTCCATAGAACTGTATTTCGCTGGGCAGAATTATGTTCTTTAGCTGTGCCAAATTCCACTAATCAGTCAGTTCGAATGAGCTAAACCGAACGTTTATGTTCAACGGCGTTTATCTGAAACAAGTGTTTATTCGAAATAAAAATTAATGTTGATATGACGTATATACAACATACGACGAGAAGCTGTCGTTCGTAAGAATACGAACCACACATTTTTCATACGTTTTCAATATACTCTGGGGGTTTCTTCTGATCATTTTAGACATTTAAGTACATCAACATACATCAAGCTATAGACTCGAATCGTGTCTATAGTCCACAACATAGCAGGACCATCTAAATTTATGTATCTCTGAATCATCTCTAGATAGTCGGCAAGTGGTTCAGTGGCCACTGGCAATGTTATTGAAATCTATTAATTGTAGCCAAACCACACAACCTGTTACTATAGACAAACTGAGCGGACATACATTCGTTTGTTGGAATTGAAACACAGGCTCCAGTGTTCATGCATGTATACTCTGATTCTATTAAATCATATTGATACTCACAGACGTTGTAAGTAGTGTCCTTCGTGAACTGAGACCCTGCCTTGGGGATATATTGTAAAACAGTTCTTCATTTTCTGTTGAACTGATCTACATTAAAATAGCGGAGAAACAAAAGTTTAAAAAAAATTAAAATGGTTGTAACTGACATTTAACCCCTACCAGTCACACGTTACAATTTTGACTTTTTTAACGAATCTGATAATTGATTATATTCTTAATAACAAGCAGGTATCGTTCCACTGATTATTCTCGGTCTTCAGAGTTTAAAATCTACACCATCCCTGAATACAAATGTAGCTGTTATTTAACAGCTCAGCTCCAAAGGTCGGAGGTCACACTTACTGATAGGGATGTCCGCATCCTCCTCTGATGTACATTACACGGATTAGGATCTAAAGTAACGCTAAATCTCGCGACAAATCTCGAGATTAGAACATTTAATGTTTTGAAAGTTAAAGTCAACTTTGTGGTGACATGCTTGAGACCCATGATACCTGGGTGGTTAGTGTTTTAAACCATTACCTGATAACTCGTGTGGAAGAACTACCCGGGTTTAGGGATCAGACTCAACGGCTATCGTTGTAATACTCCCTGATAAAGTGATAGATATGTGGTGCTGTTCGGAAGAGCTTACGATGACGTCATCCCTTTAGTTCCGCCATTTTCTACATCGGGATGATAGTGACCGCGAGATCTTAAAACAGATCCTGTCAAGCCATGGAAGGTTTTTAAAATGGTTCTTATCATGCTGTTTGGTCGAGTTATTTAGGGGCGGTCAATAATGTTTAAAAGTGGTTTTGTTCGGAAGAACAATTCGGTTTTAATACTAGTGTTGTAAACGTCAAAACTTTATCTTAAAACTTCACTTTCTGCATGTAAATTAGAATTTACAAAGGTGATTTTGACTAGCGATAAAAATAAAGATGGTGAACTTGGCAACGTTGTTATTTTGAAAATACAAGAAAATGATGTTTTATGGGGTTTTTTTATACCCTGATACCCTCTCTGTTTCCAATTCTATACTTTCAGAACACAGAGAGCCGAGTATTTTCACGTCCATAATTCTAAGGATTATGTGGGTTTTTTTATCGTTGTCAGTAGTGATTCATGATTAACCTCCGCCTTGGGTGTATTGATAAAATGTCAATACAAACTGTTAGGTTAGGCATCCAAAATTTTGATTCACAGTTATTTTATCCATCTGCCATCTCCATGTGGCCCCATCACGGGTACGAGCTAAACGACCCGTCGTTGTGTAGATGACTTCATATGTAATACATGTACTCGGGAACTGTATATTCATATATTTCCTACCTATTCACGTCAAGTTTAAAATCATGACACGTTTTCTTTTAACCGACGCATGGACGTTTGCGTTTGTACATCCAGAGAAGGGAAGAAGTTGTGGGTACGGGGGCAAGTTGACAACACGAGAACAATGTCTGTGACTTGTAAGTCACAATCAAAATACTTTTCAAAATATTTACGTTTTTTTTAAGATTATCCCAAAACGTCAGTGTATACTTTCTTTTGTTCGTCAGTATATTGGTCCATGTGTAACTGATAACTGTAATCCCATATACACATTTTTAGCGATTTTCGTCTCGTATATTGACGACAGAATGATATTTAAGCTTTGCCAGACATCTTAATCTTGTATAGCCGAAACCTTTCTCTACCACTCCTCGTCAACTAGTCCGATACAAGAAGGTATAGCTGTTTAACCAAGCAGCAGATTTGTCTAACAAAGTAGTGAAATCCTTTTAATCCTCCCTAAACTCCAGGCTTAATTAGTGTTGTACTGGGGCCGATTGTGCTGGAGTGGAGACAAGATAAGCAGTTACTTTAAACTGAGGCTGCAAGGAGCAGGGATCAATTTCGGGGAGGGGGTCATTTGTCATTCAGCATCACTTTCTTCTGTGATAACTAACGGTGGCGTCGCCGACAACCCAGGAACGTGATTTGACGGCTGCGAGATGGGAAGGTACGAGCGTTGTAAAGCTGTGCAGTAGGAGAACGTCTGACCTCCTGCGACTATGTCCCGCTAATGAAATCATTTCATGAATTAATTCCCGTTGTTTTATAACAACAACAACATCAGCAACAACTTAAACAACAACAAAACTAATAATCAGATCTGTATGTACAAACTATTCTGCAAGATTATTTCGCGTTGAAAATGTTTGGGAATAATTTCTCGCAAGATTGTTACGAAATATTTGAGTGTCGTAAAGCATATTTTTCTGTAGTTGTACTTTTCATAGTTTGAACTAGATAATATAAATAAAATATTTATGAAGCAAAATGAACCACAATTTCCTTTATCTGTGTGCCTAGTGCACGAAATGATTAAAACTAGACCACTGTTTCACTAGCTACACGAGACACGCATTGCGATTCGTAAGTATTAAATACTGTACTTATGTATCCAATAATTTAATAGTCGTAAAGGATGTCAGGGACATTTACTGTCAATGTATTTTTTAAAGGTTATTTATTAATTGTAATGCTTAATAACTATTTCATAACTACTAACATCAATATTTATTTTCCTGGTAGAATTATTCAATTTAATAATTTTCTTTTTCGGACATCACTAGAGTAAACACACAACGGTACACTGTAAAGCTATGACTGACATTAAGTATGCATTTCGCATGAGAGCAATTTATTTTATTTTTAAAAAGATTTTAAAGGACTTGGTGTAAATTTAAATCTTTACTTTGAGTATTGAGTCTTAAATATATCGACAACAATAATGATAGTTATGATATATGTTATTTGAATACTAGTAAATTCAAAGTTATTTATTGTACTATGAAACAATCTCATCTCAAGCGTAACAGAACAAATGCATTTATGTTATTTACTGATAACATAAAATAAAAATAATTACGATGATATGATTTTACAGATTGTAATCTCCTCTGAATACACAAGCCACTCAAGACATACCGGGAGAGCATAGTCGTGTTTATTCGTGCTGGCGTGAAAAATCTTTTTTTACCTTTAAAACTTTCAGTTGGGAAATAGAAATAAAGTCATCATAACCTTTTGTTAATAACACAAAACCGACATGCATAATTTATAATTGAGAATTTCAATATATTAATATATTTTTAAGTCTTTAAAAAGTCCACGTGAGACGAGTTCCCTGTATATGTTTAAGACAAGGTGGGTAGACCTGACTGCCCACTATTTACAATATAAAATGAGAACGTAAAGTATTTTCATCGTTTTCATGTGTATATATAACTCCTAGATTAAATAGATAAGTTATTCTGTGTTGATCAAGTCAAACGTTAATTCCTTCTACATTCATTTCGGTGTTGATCGCGATGTTGATCTACCGTTGTCAACTGAAGTCAAATACCAACCTTCATCATCTAAGTTTCGGGAGGAGGAATTTTAAACCCACCTGAAGAGCGTTTGCTCAGCTTTTCTAGAATCTGTCAACAAGAAGATGTAGAAGTTGAGGCTAATCCCCAGCGAGATTAGATAATGACTTGATTTTGATACTAGCAACCAAGACTTGTCAGTAATTATTTGCTTGACCAACTGCCTTGTACATACCTGCCGACTGGAGACAACACATTAGCACTGCTATTAAACCATTAACTTGCTCGTAAGAGGTCATTTTTCATCCGCAGTCATGGGCACCATGGCTTTGACAAAGCTCCCTGTAGATCAAAGATAGGTAAAGAACTTTTCAGGTGCTCGTAATGCTTAATAAAATGTCAAGGGAAATTTAACAAATTAAACTAAATGGTTGAGGCGATAAAACGCTTAATTTCTTGTAACATATTTTGGTTTCTATTATTACACGTTGTGATTGCATTATTTTTTAATGAGTTCTTTTCATCTATTTGGAACGAAACAGCTAGCATAAAGACCCATTCGAGTCCACGCAATCTACACAAATTCATATCTGTGCAAAATCTTAGAAATTGCAATGAAAGTGTTTATATGAATGAGAACAAGGATTTCTTCAATGCATCGTCTCGATGTTTTCGACACGTAGAACACTAAATACACAGGCTAAAATATGTCACAATTGCTGTGTTTGACTTAAGCCGATTTTCATAGAAAATTAAGAAAGGTACAAGGAAAAAATAATGTACGGTCGGGAAGTTTCTCAAACTTAGGTAGTCAAGTGAAGTTTAAAAAGGCAAAGTGATGCATGTATCAACTGAGAAGTTCAAGGGCCAGACTCCAAAGTGGGAAACAACAAAGAAAATTTGATGTTAGCCACACGAACACATTTGATAATTTTCATATCAATATTTCAGAGTTATCTGCATCTTTAAAATTTGACACTTTACACTCTACATTTGACACTAGTCCTACTTCCATTTTCGTTGTGACAAATACAGCGATGAAGCCAGTCTTTGTACACAGAGGGAAGATGTCGGACTGTCTTGCAGTTTTGAATTCGCGTGTAGTATACAGGCTGTTTCTTCTTCTCTACGGGTTCTGGTTATAAAATATTACGTATAATACTAACAAAATAAATATGTTTTAACTTATATACTAGCATTTAGATAACATTTTAAATGAAGGTACATACATGTCATGCACAATGAAACCTCGTTATTGCGGAAACCAAGATTAACCGATTATTTTTTATACACCATTCGTCTAACGGGATTTTACTCCACGTTCCTGATTCATTAAGGTTGGGGCCAAAGCAAGTCGTTTTTGACTGCACATGGTTGTGTATTTAGGACAAAAAGCTGCCAGTGATATATTTCTATGTCATTTTATAATAACAAATGATGTTCTTTATTTATTTGACCCCTCGTGCAATGTCAGTACAATTGCACACCTACATAGTTTAAATTTGTTATCGTGTAAAAGTTGCATGGTTGTGTTTTCCAAAACCAAAATAAACCCAGACAAACAAGTCTGTACTTTCAAGATATTGCTCATATGTAGAGTATACTAAAAAATATGTGGATACTATTATATATTGATATATTGTGTATATATTGATTTTTATGTACAGATTGATTATTATGTATGATTATATTGATTATAATGTGCATATTGATTATAATGTATATATTGATTATTATGTATATATTATGCTTGTATATATAAAATGCAATTTACAAGTGTATGTTTTCTTTGCACGGTGGTGGATTTGGTTTATAACCACCATATCTGGGATCGCTGTCTCACTTTACTAGTGCACGTCAGTAATCTGCCTTACTTCGGGATTTACTCCCACAACAAACAGACATGCATAACTTAGACGAAATGCTTTCAAAGTTGCACATGCATAACATGTAATCACTTATTGAAATACATGTTCCAGGGCGGATTCACCCGGAAGTATTCGTTAAGTTCAAAGACTGGAACTCTCCTGCCAGACTTCCCCAACGCTCGCTTTCTCATTCTCCCCCTCTCTATACCGCGCGAGAAGGTAAGAAAGAAATGCATAATCATCATTCCATTCCAGATTGATAGTTTTCTTTTAAATATATATTCATTTCGTAAAGCTGTGTTGTGTTATTATAAAGAACGAATGTTATATTTTGAAATCAGAGCATTCATACCAAGAAAACCGGGAATTGTTTTGAGGTCTGGAAATCCAAATTAAAACAACATACTCATCTGTATTGACGAATCAACTGTATCCCGTGATGATCCGGGTTAGATTTGTTCTTCAGCAACCCATGCTTGTCGTAAGAGGTCACTGTCGTGATTGGGTGGTCAGACTCGCTCACGTGGTTGACGCAAGTTACCGTATCCCAGTGGCGTAGACCAATGCTCGCAGTGTCACTGGATTGTTTGGTCCACACTACAAACCACCGCCATGTGACTGGAATATTGCTTGCTGTTGTTGTTGTTGTTGTTGTTGTTGTTGTTGTTGCAGATGTTTGTTATTTTCTTTTACTTCTTCACAGTTAACAGTACCCGTGAAGGTCCGGGTTAGAATGAACCTTCAGTAACCCATGCTTGTCGTAAGAAGCGACTAACGGGATCGATTGGTCAGGCTCGCTGACTTGGTTGACACATGTCATCGGTTCCCAATTGCGCAGATCGATGCTCATGCTGTTGATCACTGGATTGTCTGGTCCACACTCGATTATTTACAGACCGCCGCCATATAGCTGGAATATTGCTGAGTGCGGCGTAAAACTAAACTCACTCACTCACTCACTCACTCACTCACAGCTAACAGCTCAAGAATACTGATACGGAAGAAACAATATTCATTCACCCAATCTTGTTCTTATTGTGAAAGAGAGGCGGTGGGGTAGCCTGGTGGTTAAAGCGTTCGCTCGTCACGCCGAAGACCCGGGTTCGATTCCCCACATGGGTACAATGTGTGAAGCCCATTTCTGACGTGCCCCGCCGTGATATTGCTGGAATATTGCTAAAAGCGGCGTAAAACTGAACTCACTCATGTGAAAGAGTCGAGGTGTTTCATTTATAATGTTCCGTGCTTTATTAAACCGAAACTGTTCTAATTTCATCTGACATAGGGTCAGGGACAAGAACCCCGCACCTATCCTTATGTTATACAATAACACCTGACACAGCCATTTACTAAACAGGCAATGCACAAATAACGAATATAAAGTACATTTGCGTTCAAATGGCCGTACAAGTCGACCATCAATCTTCATACAGTGTGCCTGGATCTGCCATCACTCATTCACGGACTCACACAGAAATCAGCCTGGGATATTAATTCCATTTGCAATGATTAAAGAGACGAGGAACATAACTGTAGGAAAATTAATAACTAAATGATATGCGAGATAACAGCCTCACCGCACAATCCATTAAAATTTCAAGAAGTAGTAAATTTACGTCTGTCTTCCCCAACCGCTAGTCACGTCACCGCCTTCATTTTGTGTGGTTCATTTCTCATTTATTGTAACATTGATAAACCAAGTGTCCCCGCGCTGTTATTAATTGTTCTAAAATCCCGACTTATTCCCAGTCTGAAATGCCGCGAGCACCTTCAAAGCCTCGGCAAACACGCGTTATTTAGACGGAGCCCAATGGGCAGGCTGTTTTCAAGGGGTGCCGTGATGATTAGGAGATTTATTTGGTTTGTAATTTCCTCGAAGCCGTGGGCTGCCGGAACATGGGGATGGAGAAGGGGGAGGGTATCTGCTGATGGGAGGGGCGGGTATCTGCTGATGGGAGGGTGTGTATCTGCTGATGGGAGGGAAAGGTACCTGCTGATGGGAGGGAAGGTATCTGCTGATTGGAGGGCGGGTATCTGCTGATGGGAGGGTGTGTATCTACTGATGGGCGGGAAAGGTATCTGCTGATGGGCGGGGCGAGTATCTGCTAATGGGCGGGCGGGTATCTGCTGATGGGCTGGGCGAAAAGTATCTACTGATGGGCGGGGAGGGTATCTGCTAATGGGCGGGGCGGGTATCTGCTGAGGGGCTGGGCGAATATCTGCTGATGGGCGGGGAGGGTATCTGCTGATGGGCGGGGAGGGTATCTGCTGATGGGAGGGAAAGGTACCTGTTCATTGGAGAGGCGGGTATCTGCTGATGGGAGGGGCGGGTATCTGCTGATGGGAGGGAGGATATCTGCTGATGGGTGGGAGAGGGCATCTTCTGATGGGAGGGTGTATATCTGCTGATGGCAGGAAAGGTACCTGCTGATGGGAGGGCGGGTAGCTACTGATGGGAGGGGCGGGTAGCTACTGATGGGCGGGAAGAGCATCTGCTGAGGGGCGGGCGAGTATCTGCTGATGGGCGGGGAGGGTATCTGCTGAGGGGCTGGGCGAATATCTGCTGATGGGCGGGGAGGGTATCTGCTGATGGGCGGGGAGGGTATCTGCTGATGGGAGGGAAGGTACCTGTTCATTGGAGAGGCGGGTATCTGCTGATGGGAGGGGCGGATATCTGCTGATGGGTGGGGAGGGTATCTGCTGACGGGAGGGGACTGATGAACGGGGAGGGTATTTGCATTTGGGAGGGGTGGGTACCTGCTAATGGGAGGGGAGGGTGGTTAGTGATACAGTGCTGAGGGTTTGAGATACATTGAGACTCGGTCTAGCTTAACCTTCTTGGAAACGTGTATCTGTAGAAATATTCATGTATGTGAAAGACGCATTAAATACACTAAACGCCAAAAGAAACGTTACCCTCCTTCCTTTATGACGGAGGTACCTATCTTCAGCTGGCGTTGTGATGCGTGGACGTCCACTTCTTGGTCTGTCTACGGTGATCCCAGTCTGTCTGAAGCCCTGAATAAGTATTATAACCGTGATACGGTGGCATCCGTGGGCGTTGGCAACAGCATTGTATGTCGACCCCATCTGCACCATCCCAATGGCTCTTTCCCTCCCTTCAGCTGTTAATCGTGGCATATTTCTCGTACTTGTGTACCAGATCATGTCTTCTAGGCTCTCTTTATACCCTATATAATGGATGTAGGTACTGTTTGAATATTGCTGCGTTTTGGCGATTGATATTGCTATGTGTAAAATGGGAATGGAAAAATGTTACTTTGTTAGCAAAAATGTTAACAAAGATAATTTCAGATGTTCCTAAACATTTTTTCAAAATATCAAAGACACGTTTTACTTTTTTCACTAATGCAAATCAGCAGAAAATGTGTTAAAAGACTGAAATCATAGGAATGGTTATTTTACAATTTTACACACTCTACAACAGTTGTTTCTTGTTTTAATAGTTGAAAAATGGTGACTTCAAATGGTTTATCATTGTCCCAAAGCAGAATGTTATTTCAACTTTTCTTTTGGACATCAAAATCACTATTTCACCCAAATCTGAATGCATTTGAGAATTTATTTTCGTGATTTGCATAAGGCTGTGTTGTTAAGCTTTCTTGAAAACTAAAATCTTCTCATATATCTTCGATAGTTTTTCAGTGATTCATAAAGGAAGGAGGGTAACGTTTCTTTTGGCGTGTAGTGTATGTCATTCCATGTAATATCATTGCTCACTGTTGTTGCTCACTGCAGATACCTCTCCCCTCCCATCAGCGGATACCCTCCCTCCCATCAGCAGATACCCTCCCCCTCCCAGATACCCTCCCTCCCAGATATCCTCCCTCCCAGATACCCTCCCCTCCCTTCAGCAGATACCCTCCCTCCCATCCCATCAGCAGATATCCTCCCTCCCATCAGCAGATACCCTCCCTCCCATCGGCAGATATCTTCCCCTCCCATATATCCTCCCCTCCCATAAGATATCCTCCCATCCCTCCCAGATACCTCCCCTCAGCAGATATCCTCCCATCCCATCAGCAGATATCCTCCCCTCCCATATATCCTCCCCTCCCATCAGCAGATATCCTCCCCCATCCCATCAGCAGATACCCTCCCTCCCTCCCATCATATATCCCTCCCATCAGCTCCTCCCCATCATCAGCAGATATCTTCCCTCCCATATATCCTCCCTCCCATCAGCAGATATCCTCCCCTCCCATCAGCAGATACCCTCCCCTCCCATCAGCAGATATCCTCCCCTCCCATCAGCAGATATCCTCCCCTCCCATCAGCAGTCCCATCCCAGATACCCTCCCTCCCATCAGCAGATATCCTCCTCCCATCAGCAGATATCCTCCCCTCCCATCAGCAGATACCCCTCCCCCCATCCAGATATCCCCATCCTCCCTCCCAGATACCTCCCCTCCCATCAGCTCATCAGCAGATACCCTCCCCCTCCCATCAGCAGATATCCTCCCTATCCTCCCCTCCCATCAGCAGATACCCTCCCTCCCTCCCATCAGCAAATATCCTCACCTCCCAGATACCCGCCCTCCTCCCATCAGCAGATATCTCCCATCCCATCCCCTCCCCTCCCATCAGCAGATATCCTCCCTCCCAGATATCCTCCCCTCCCCATCAGCAGATACCTCAGCAGATACCTCCCCTCCATCAGCAGATATCCTCCTCCCATAGATATCCTCCCTCCCATCCCCTCCCTCCCATCAGCAGATATCCTCTCCTCCTATCAGCAGATACCCTCCTCCCCTCCCATCAGCAGCAGATATCCTCCCTCCCATCAGCAGATATCCTCCCCTCCATCAGCAGATATCCTCCCCATCAGCAGATACCCCTCCCATCGGCAGATATCCCTCCCATCAGAAGATATCCTCCCTCAATCAGCAGATATCCTCCTCCCATCAGAAGATGCTCCGCCTCCCATCAGCAGATACCCTCCTCCAATCAGCAGATACCTCCCCTCCCATGTATCTCCCTCCAGTCAGCAGATATCCTCCCTTCCATCAGCAGATACCCTCCCCTCCCTCCTATCAGAAGATACCCTCCTCCTGCCGTCAGCAGATATCACTCCCCTCCCCTCCCATCCAGCAGATATCCTCCCCCCCATCAGCCAAATACCTCCTGTCAGCATCCTCCCCTCCCCCATCCTATCCTCCCTCCATCGGCAGATATCCTCCCTCCCCCGTCAGCAGATATCCTCCCTCCAATCAGCAGATATCCGCCCCTCCCATCAGCAGATATCCTCCCTCCCTCCCTTGAGTCCTCCCTCCAATCCCTCCTCCCATCAGCAGATATCCAGATATCCTCCCCTCATCATCAAGCAGATATCCTCCCTCCCATCAGCAGATATCATCAGCAGATACCTCCTCCCCTCCCTCCCATCAGCAGATATCCTCCCCTCCCCGTCCCATATATCCTCCTCCTCCCATCAGCAGATAATCAGCAGATACCCTCCCCTCCCATATATTCCCTGCCTCCCTCCCCCCCTCCCATCAGCAGATATCCTCCTCTCCCATCAGCAGATACCATCCCTCCATCGGCCCTCCCATCAGCAGATATCCTCCTCCCCTCCATCAGCAGATACCCCCCTCCCCCGGCAGATGCCCATCATCAGCAGATACCCTCCTCCGAACAATGGACGGCCAAGTGCACCGAAATATTTCATAGTGCAAGGCAAGCGGATTTCTCACAATACGACAAAGGACTATGCCAAAATGTTACAGTAGTGAGGAACTCTTCGACCTCTAGAGATACACATTCACATCATTCTGTACCAGTGGAACGTTTTCTCTCAAAGGGAACATCTTCTCCGTCACAAACAGAAACATTTCCCAACCGAACTAATATATTCTTGTGTGGAACATTCTCTGTACTTGTAAAGAACTATTTTCTCTACCGCTGGAACGTTTCCTCCATTTTGTTTCCGGTCTGTGGCTGTGATTACGTTTTCTCAATACTTATACAAATCACCTTTTAGCTGTTTAGAAAGCGTGTTCCCACAAGTTCAAATACAAGTTCTAGATGCTGTAATAAGTGCAGTATGAAACATGGAAACTGTCTCTCTATATTTAGGTGAGGTGAGGTGAAATTGGGTTTAACGTCGTGCTTGAGAATATTTCGCTCATATGACGACGTGCATGCGTGTGTATGTGTATGTGCGGTTGCTTGTACTAGCCCAGACTTAAGCTGGTTTTAGAGTGCTAGGCCACTGAGATGCCATGCAGCAGTGAAGCATGAATACCCCACTCAGACACATTATACTGACTCCGAGCCGACCAGTCCTTGTTGTACCCATTAATGCCGAGTGCCAGGCATATTTTAACGTCTTTTGGTATGACGCGGCCGGGGATCGAACCCGCGACCTTCCGCTCTCCGGGCGGACGCTCTAACCACTACACCACGGAGGCGGTCCTCTATATTTAGGACAAAGATAAACTGCTTGCTACATATACTCCAGAATTATCATGAAGCATTGGTGTGTTTGAATGCCTTGGATGACAATTCCTAGAACTGCTAATTTACCAAAATATAATGCTGTGTTAATGGGTTAACAATTGCTCGGTAGGGCTCTTGTTTACTCATCCCGAGACAATAATACTTTTGGGAAGGCAAATTGTCCGCCATATTGATATGTGTCGGAATCTCCTTGACCCATTCCGTAACATGTCGACCTTTGACAGTGTGAGAACCCGTCTCCCATAGATACGTTCCTTTATTCGTTATTTTGTGTGGACGTTGTCTTTGGCCGTCAGGTCCCTGTGATGGAATCGCCAGAAGCGTGACACTGATGACAGTTTCCCACCATGAACTATAAGCACGCGATTTAAGTAGGGATTTGGCAGCTTCAACCACATTCTCTAGGGTCCGGCAGCGACCAGTACGTACCCTAGGCAACGTGGTAAGACTACAGTCGTCCCTTTGATGTGGACGTTGATAAGAAAAGAAGCGACGAGGCACGGAGCGCGTGCACAGGGTTGCGTGTCCGTTTACGTAGATTCGCGATCCTCTCTTGTCATGTTGTCTTGATGTTAGATCGATAGTGGAGGGATTAGTGTACATACACCGTACACACTTGGTTACGTCACTTCTGTAACGGGGGCGAATCTACAGGTGTAATGGCGATATGCCTGTGTCTTGTCATTTAGTCATCAGAGCAGGGACTCGAAGGAGTGAGTGAGCGAATTTTAGTTTTACGACGCTTTCAGCAATATTCCAGCAATGTCACGGCTGGTGACAACAGAAATGGGCTTCACACATTATACCCATGTGGGGAATCGAACCCGGGTCTTCGGCGTGACGAGCGAACGCTTTAACCACAAGGCTACCCCACCAACCCCTTAAAGGAATAGTTGGTAGATGGTTCTCTGTTGGCATCTGACCTGAGTAATTTCAGAACAATAATTAGTTCTTGTCAGAATCTGATTTGAAATACCAGTACTACATGAATTCCAACCCGGTTCCGGTTCTTCTCCCAATTGCGTAGATCGATGCTCATGCTGTTGATCACTGGATTGTCTGGTCCAGACTCGATTATTTACAGACCGCCGCCATATAGTTGAGAGCACCCTAAAACTACAAATAAACATGCACTTATATTCGCGGGTTAACGTTGAGAATCGATGTAAGCATCAGGTGAAGTAATCTTCCTGGTCGTGTGCGTGTCATCGTGACCCGAAGTCAGGGACAGTTGCTCACGTGTGTTTGTCCTTTATTTTGTGATACATCCTGATACATTCTGCATCACGCTTTCATTCAGGATTCATCAAACCATTCTTGTACTTGCAGGTGGAGACGTTTATTATGATGTATAAAACCCATTGTCAATGCATCCTGGATACGGCAATAAACTCAAACTTTGAAGAGGTAAGACTTGTAATTTCTTAATAACTTTATTTCAATATAGCGGTTTACGGATATAATCGACTAAAAAAAGTGAAAGGGCACAAAACGAAATGAGAATGACAGCATTAACTCTCAACCATTCTATTTTTGGCAGATTAAAAAAAATACAGTGATGCAAAGGAAAGGTTATGTAAAATATAACTTGTTAGATAATAACAGGTAACTGATTGAATTATAGCACACGTTATAGTTTCTGGGCACTTTGAATTCCATTCGATGTAGATGATGATGATGATGATGATGATGATGATGATGATGATGACCATGATCACGAATCCTGTAGAGAATGCTACACAAACCCTTGCAATGTATGTCAAGCTGCTGCCAAGGCGATTATATTATGCATTCACATTACCCCCTGTCCCAACGGGTACCCACAGGCCACTGTATGAGAAAGGACAATATTTTGCTTAATCAGTGAAGAAAACATCTTAACAATATTTCTATGTCTAGTTACCCTAAAACGACCAAATGTTTTATATTATCCTCCCATTATCGATGGGGAAAGTGTGGTTGCTTGCTGTAATGTTTATTTCAAATATTCGGCCATTCATTATATCTCTCCACACTTACACATAAGTCATCAGTACACATCAGTAATATGCCACACAAATACCACTTTCCAACACTACCTGCTGATGTATGGTCCAAAGATACTATGTTCCCTGAAACTGCTGTTGACACCAGCATCTGCCCCGCGCTGTAATGGTTCTTAATAATTACATGCTGCTCAAGTCTGCAAACAACCAAATCGTCGGATATTAATCCGGGTTCGTTTTAGACGCCATTTATTATCAGAAAAGATAGCATCACCCGACCTCTAGCACACTGGGGTTGATTAATTGGGAAACTATCGGGGCAAGCGTCCCCCACATCCCGGTTCTAATCTCAGTTTTACTCGAGTTCTACCCAAATAGTAATAAATTATCCATTTTGACCGTATTTGGAGTGGGCGGCGTCCAATTTTCCATGCCTTACGCTATCGTTCGCTATTTGGAGTTGCAATATATCCTCTTATGACGTTGTTCTGCATGCAATATATTCTCAAAGAAAATGAATTATCTGGGATATATTTACATATCACACTACAGGTTATGATAAATTGGTAAATAATGTTTACATGACTATTATTATTTACCCGCATGTAATACGATTCACGTTAATTAATTTTGGCATATAATTTGGTAATATGCAATAACTTAATAGTGTTTTATTCGTAGTGCATTGTGTAACAAAAACAATAAACTTTTTGTTTCGTTATATAAAAATGGATTGATACTTTAGGAGATGAGGGTTTGAACATTCACGATACTAATTGGCAAAGCATGAACTGAGCAAGTATAAAACAGAACATGAGTTTGTCTTTGTGTTTTGTAATTCGTAAATTATATAAGTAAAGCGTTTTATAGCATTATATCTATTTCACTAGATGATCGGATATGCCAGCCTCATTCCTATTAGAAACGTTTGTAAAATGAAAACCCAGAAGGTTTTGTTTCGTTAAGTTTAACGCCGCACTATGAATTCAGGAGTACTGGGTGGGTTGAATAACGTAGTTGCAAGATCAAATGTTCGAAAATATTATAGATGCCGCAAATGAAGAACTAAAAGGACTGATTTGATAAAATTAGATGCCATGGATAACTACGAAATACAAAATATTGTTTCGAACTGTTATATATGACTGCCATTGCCTTGAAATGATATATTATAAGATTCATGCAAATGTTTCTACTTCAACCTGCGCCATCTTCTTCCAGATTCAGAACTTCCTGTTGCACTTCTGGCAGGGTCTTCCGGAACATCTACTCCCTCTGGTGGAGAACCCCGTCATCATTGACATCATCTGTGTGTGTGACTCCATCTTGTATAAGGTCAGTCTATTCACGAGGTTACGATGCAACGTCCCAACAATGCAACTTTCAACACCCTTCACCATTCTCTCTTTCGGCATACCTGTACACAATAGGAAGGTCAAGCAAGAATGTTTTGAGCTCGTCAATTGTTGTATGATAATGTTACTTTTTCCAAAAAGGGGACAAAAAAATGCGTGAGCTGGAAAGACTTGTAATAATACTATTACAATAACAATAATATTACAATGTTAAAATATTAAATGATAATACAACCTTAAGAAATATCTACCAAGAGTTTATTGTACGATTCCGACTGTGTCATCATCACCCCCTAGCCATAAATTATGAACGGTCCCTAATGTTGCGAAAACCTGCCCCATCGCGGGCATATATCACAAACACATGCAAAGGCAAGGCAATTGTTCACCTCAAAATACGTGAAATCAGGGAACTGCAATCAAGCATCATGTATGTCACCCCTGCGTCAAATTTTTAAGTATCCACATGTCTATTTTAAACGTTTTGAAATTTTTACCTGGCATCGAATGTCAGTAATTCTGGCCAGACTACTTTTGTGATGGTGTTCTACAACGTTATTCTTAATCTTTATGACACCAGTTTGGTGACACATTTCTAGGTATTGTTTCATATCGATAACTTTTTATTACAGGTTTTAACAGAAGTCCTGATTCCCGCTACAATGCAGGAAATGCCCGAAACGTAAGTAAATATATTTGATTTGTTATACATACGTGGATACGGGTGACTCGCACATGATGTCCGATGTTCTTTCGGGGGTTATTTTTAGTTTTGATGCGTCTCCAGCTCACTGACATGTTTTGTTCCCTCTAGGTTGCTATGTGATATCAGGAATTTCGCCAAGCACTGGGAGAATTGGGTAACAACGTCCTTAGAAAACCTTCCCGAAGTCCTCGCCAGCAACAAACTTCCGGTAGCCAGGAGATTCGCCTCATCATTAAAACGACAAACATCATTTCTTCATCTTGCCCAGGTAAGAAGCACCACGTAGTCCATTAAATAGTTTTTGCAGGCATGGCACGGACCAATCTACTCGGCGGGTATTGTAACCTCGGTCAACTCTTTCAGGAAGCCATATTGAAACTCGTGCACGTGACTATCACAATATAGAACACAAACTGTCAGCAGTTGTGAATTTATTTTAAATGTTCCCCAGTTCTTTTGTTTTCAAAAGATCTTAGACTTAATGTCGGAAAAGCACTGAAACTGATGTCTTCAACCGTGTGCAGCTTTATCTGCAGTTATGCGACTAACTTAGTGAATTCATGCAAGTTCACTACTCTGTTGCTGCCCGAACAGAATGTTGGTATCAGAATGGGTCTAGTCGATCTTAATGGACCAAGTCGTTTATGGCGCCACGATTCGCTGCTCCGTAATGAAATGACCGAGGTTCGAATACCAGTGATGTTTTGATTATGATTCTGGTTTTCTCGCACCATAACTGTAGTCATGGATTTCATCACAGTACTTTTAGTTCCGCTGTCTTCATTCGCTGTTGTATTACTGTTGAAGCTGCGTAAAACCACTCACTCACTCACTGAAACACTCACTAACTCAGTAATTCACTCACCCGCTACCAATCACTCAAAACGCTCAATAACTACGGAATAGTCGACCTACTCTAATATCAAACTGCATAACGTGTGATAACGTCATATCCCATAACGTCATTTTGTTTAGCCTTATGAGTCGTGGATGAGCCTGTAATCTAAGTCGCTGCTATGTCCTTAGTCCTGAGTTCCGTTCTGGAATCCTCGCGTATGACAATTCGTCTATCAGCACCATAGAGACGTGATTTTTTCCATAAAAGAACCTTGGACTTGCAGTAGCAGTGTATGAAATATGACCTGCCCGACAGCCCGTAACCTGGTAACTTTTGGTCTGGGCTGGCAACTTTTGGAAGTTTTTGCCATTTATATAGACCAAATCATCACATTCGGGCTGGCTATTTTTCAAACCTATTTCATAGACTGCTTGTAGATCAAGCGTTAGGATGTCAAGTATGCGAGTTCAATATAGGACCTAGAAGTTTCGCGAGGCGCTACTTCCGGTACTAAGCTGGTTCCCCGCTCCCTTTGCGCACGCCAACTTGCGATATGCTAGACTGGGCCCAGCTTACTTCCGGTACCAGATTTCCGGTGACAAACGTATATTCAAGAACCAGTTCCGGTTCCAATTTGCGCGACCGCCAAGCATGGTTGTGAACTTGGTCCAGTAACAATTTGCAAACTATTACGACTGTGAACAGCTGTGACAACCAAGCATGGATCTACACTTGGTCCGGTCTAGTAAAGCCATGCTTGGCTGTCACAGCTGTTGACAGTCGTAATACTTTGCTAATTTGGGGGATGGTTGGGTCGGAAATTTAATATTCCTACAGGGATTATCGGTTCCTTACTGTCAACTGACAACCATGACACCACTGGAAAAGGCATGAAACGTTGTTTGTCACCGGAAGTACGAAGGTCTCGCGAAGTGCCGTGACCTACTTACGGGCCCTATATATTTCTCAGCGACCTTGTTAGATTGATGCCACATGAATGTATTTTGGAGTACAAGGAACTTCACACTTCAGATTTCACATTTCACAAAAGAAAATAAATTGATCGAAAATTCTAATATATTCCAACTTTGATTAAGAAAAATAAAAGTCTGTGTTTTTGTTCATGAGGTCTGTTTGTATATCCATTACATATCAAAGTGTTCTGTGTACATCTAAAAGAGAGTTCGAATTATGCTTCTACATATCACAATAACATAAAAAGTAACGTAATAACGTTTGATTTTGAGTATATGTTTGACACAACAGACAATTTACGTTTTCAAATGAATACCCCCCAGACCGCTCGACCAGTCCTGTACGACGCTCAACTAGTCAATCAATCGATAGCCGATATTGATCGCATCGATCTCAGCAGCATCGGTTCGCAGGCTCTTAATAACTCTAAAGACGGTGAGGAGACGGAAGTGAACGCTGAATGTAAGTATCGAGAGAGTAAGTATATTTGTACGTTTAAAATACCTTCACTCTTGTGTGCATCTTTCCCTGTTCTTTCGTTGTACGCAAACTGAATCTGATTTAGAAAATATTGATTAAAGATTATACTTTGCTTTTAGATATATTCTATTGTAAACGTCTATGTCTCACGACAACTTCAGTATAACATCCCAAGCCTACACCCACCCCTCATCCACATGGTTAAAATAGGTCACCCGTCCATGGGAGTGTTGATGACGGATTAGGCAAGCCCGTGATAGATCTGGGGCTGAATATGGAACGCTGATTAGAATCCCACTCAGGAAGGGGGATACCTTATGATCCCTTCCCCAATACCACTGCAGATGGATTGCCTCAACAGTCTTATTGTCGTAACAGACAATGCTGTTTTACTGACAAGAATGAGACAGGTCTGTCATTTTTGGTAGAAATATCACCTTCTGGGAAAGTCGTTGCAGATTATGTTTCCCTGGGGAATTTACGGCAGAACATGTCACCTTACAGGGAATTCATGGCAGAACATTTCATTTTATAGGGAATTCATGGCAGAACATGTCACCTTATAGGGAATTCATGGCAGAACATGTCACCTTATAGGGAATTCATGGCAGAACATGTCACCTTATAGGGAATTGATGGTAGAAATTTACCTTCTGGGGAATTCACGGCAGAGGAGGTCACCTTCTGGGGAATTCACAGCAGAGGAGGTCACCTTCTGGGGAATTCACGGCAGAGGAGGTCACCTTCTGGGGAATTCACGGCAGAGGAGGTCACCTTCTATGGGAATTCGTGGTAGAACAAGTCCCTAGTTAATAATTCTTGGTGAATAATACTTTCTGGTGAACCCATAGCGGGCAAACCCTGGATAGAACAAGGAAATATATAGGCAAACCCCTTCGCTCCCCCAGTGACAGAGTAGTCCCCTAATCTTTCCATTATATAATTACATTATCCCAGTCCATTTTACGCGTGACTATTGAGATTTACTTTCATATATGTTTCAGTTTTACGAGAGTTTAAGGAATTGCTACGGAAACAGGCTACCGTAGAGGCGTTCACGGAGTGGCTTGACACGGTGGTGGAGCAGAAGGTCATCAAGGTAAGCTCTCTTTATAGACAGTCGCCTCTTTAAACCAAACCCCTGTATTTGTAGAGGGGGTGGGGGAGGATATGGCCGACTTTCGGTCTGTATGCCCCCTCTACCACAACAACCCCCCAAATTCAACCTTTATATACACACACTGGGAACTTACGGAACATCCTTCTGTATCACTGGGTTATTGTAAACCGATTATTCAAAAGCCCCACCTAATGTGTAGTTACTTTTGTTGTGTTGGATACATGCTAAAAGATGCAATAGAGGCTTGATTAAGAATTATTCAAATTATGTCCTATGTTATTCATCATAAAAGATATTCCTGTCATGTTCACATTGAAATATACAGGGTCCATGGCTGGGTTTTAGAAAACATTTGATTTCATGAAATATTGGTGAAGTCACATGTCGCCAGGCTTTGCCACACAAAAACAAACTGGCATTTTGTGTGTCTTGTAATAAAAAAATACCCGTTTTAAACTAGTCACCATGACCATGACCATGACCATGACCATAGCCTAACCATGAACGGACAACCACAACCACAACCCCAACCCCAACCTCAAGCATAACCACAACCACCCCTACCCCCTCCACTATTGGAAGATCAAACGGTAGTTCCGATAGTAAAGTGGGTGATCACAGGCACAGTTAATAATCTTGACTCGATATCATGGACACTCTTTAATCCAAATAATCACCGATCAATCATCCCGATTACCACCCCACTGCTGGTGTTGCACGTACAACCACATCAATAGCAAGTCGAATGTCTCTAATATATTTCTTGTTGTCAAAGCCTTTGTTCTGGAATTCTGGAATGCAAATGGTAATTATATGTTTAGTTTATTCCCAAATTGAATAACACAGCTCTTAAACAAACACAAGTGATACTTGGATTGTTTTTGTTACTTTAATCCAAGCAACGGTGATATTTGAACAATAAGGAGCGCTGTCACTGTTATCGAACGAACATCTACACAACTCACTTACCAATCCATTAGGTAGGCCCAATGAGGACGTAGTCTGACGCGTGATAATATATGTATCTCACCCATAACAGGATAAGCTTTTAAGTAAAGTATTTACAGGATTACTCCAACCCTCCTAATTTGGCTTTAAGGGGACAACTTAGACCCTTTTAGAGAGGACTTAGATGGTCCAGGAGTTTTAAATCGCGCCAAACAAATTCGGAGGGTTATAAAAGCCACTGAATATTTTCGGTACCGATGTCAAATATTGATAGAGGGAGTCATTGTACATGTAAAAACTCCGCAGCATAATCGGGCTCAAATAGACTCTTTCAAGTGTTCCTGATCGGCAAGCAAATGCTAGAGTGTTAGGACATGATATTAATCGAATTTAGCCGGCTTGTTTTCACGTTTTAACTATCACATTCTCAGTTCGAGCATACGGCGCGTGTGTATTAAGAATATCGTATTCCGCAGAGTTGGTTTGTTGGAAAAGATTTGTCTGGGTTGTGAAGGGATTATGTCATTCGGCATGGCGTGTGGGTGATAACTCATGTTCAGGTTCGCGACTCGGGTATTGGTGTTGCGCGGCCATCAATCAGGATGCTATTGATATGATGACATAGGGGCGTAATCTTGTTAAATCGGGGATAGGGTTATTATGCTTTGGAAAGAGTGGAATTTAGGAAGTATAAGCTGTCGAATAAATAGTACCACTTATGGTGTGTGAAACGTCACTGAGAAACATCAGCATTTCAAATTATTCTGACACGGAAACATTATACAAACTTCAACATAATATTCAAGTGGTTTTCATTTCATACATTTCATAAAATTCAGAAATGTGGGTTAGTCGGTAGAAATCTTTTTCTTCGTGCAGTTTGAGTAAATTAAGTTTAAGAATATAAAATACTAAGAGCATTGTTCAGAAGCTGAAAATAAATTATGTTTACCATATCTAAAAACACAATCTTCCCTTCAAAATTAGTTGTATATTGTAATAATTATAAAATTGTCTGTTGGATTTAAAAAAATTATAATTAATAGACAGTTGTGGTATATAAATTATAAACATATTTGCATCAAACTGTATCCATAACAATATCCGAGAGCGGAAGGTCGCGGGTTCGATACCGTTAAAATATGGTACTTGTTGGTCCCTGCCTGGCGCTCGGCATTAATGGGTACAACAAGGACTGGTCGGCTCGGAGTCAGTATAATGTGTCTGAGTGGGGTATTCATGCTTCACTGCGGCATGGTATCTCAGTGAGCTAACACTATAAAACCAGCTTTAGTCTGGGCTAGTACAAGCAGCCGCATCTACACATACACACGCATGCACGTCGTCATATGAGCGAAATATTCTCCAGCGCGACGTTAAACCCAATTTCGCCTCACCTCACCTTACCTCACCTCACCTCACCTCACATAACAATATCCCCCTTTTTCCTCACACCAACTTCAAAATGCCTCTCTCAAAGAAGTCAAGGAAATTATACACGGGAATATGGGTAAAATCAAACACAAAACCTACAGAGAAAATATACACGGAAGGTACCTAGTTATTGTTTTAACTGCAATCTGCATAGATATCAATACCTTTTTAAAATTTCATATCATGTCCCTCCTTAAATATTGTACACAAGCCTGACATATTCAACTTTTGAAAATAGAATAATATACACATTAGTGTACAATAATTATACACGTTTTCATATCATGTTTATCTTCAACTTTATAGCATACCTTGTCATGCTCAAGGGTTGTAGATTATTTCTAAAAACAGATATTCATCATCATTTCATGTACAGTATTGGGGCGGTGGGGTAGCCTAGTGGTTAAAGCGTTTGAATCGTCACGCCGAAGACCCGGGTTCGATTCCCCACATGGGTAAAATGTGTGAAGCCCATTTCTGTTGTCCCCCGCCGCGATATTGCTGCAATATTGCTAAAAGCGGCGTAAAACCAAACTCACTCACTCACTCATGTACTATATTAATGTGTATATGGTGGCGGTAGAGTAGCCTCGTGGTTAAAGCGTTCGCTCATCACGCCAAAGACCCGGGTTCGATTCCCCACATGGGTACAATGTGTGAAGCCCATTTCTGGTGTCCCCCGCTGTGATATTGCTGGAATATTGCTAAAAATGGCGTAAAACTAAACACTCTCTCACTAATGTGTATATCAAAAGTCTTATTCATGATGGTAATTACAGATGTTAAGATGGTAATTATTCATGTAAATGCGTGAATATTCATCAAAATAGTTCATGATTTCATGTCATGTTCAACAGTTCATAAAACGAACTGACACGCAAACCCGAATACGGACAGCCAATACGTACGTTGTAGTCCTTAGTCCTTACCGCCGCAGAGTGCGTACTTTAATGCATATAGCTTGTTCAGTCTTGGTTCGGGTTGAAACAAAAGTTTAATATTGATTTAAATGTCATAAACGTCCCTGTTTATGGAACAGCATGCACGCCAATATCCCTTGAAGTGGGTCTCAGGAGGACCTGGCGCCCGTCTTTAGCCCTTATATCCCATCGAGTCGTACATCTGACAGGGAGAATGAGAAAAAAAACTGGCACTTGTACACGCAAAACCTCAAGCTTGAGAGGGTCCTTGATGGTTCGTGTAAAGTCCACATAAACGGTGCCCGAGTTTTGGAGCGTGAATTGTCGACATGGCGGATATTTTACGTCCACTTCACTTACTTACTTCATGTACATTACGTTCAAACATTTGTATGCCGACCGCAGATTTGGGAAATATTAAAGTTAGTAGTAACTATTTCTTGTCGAGTCTACATCAGGTAAACCAGCACCATAGCCAGACAAAGTCACAACAAGGAAACCCAGTTAAACCACACCTTGTGACTGTTGTCTGATACTCACAGCTGGGTACCCAGATAAACCACACCTTGTGACTGTTGTCTGATACTCACAGCTGGGTACCCCGATAAACCACACCTTGTAACTGTTGTCTGATACTCACAGCTGGGTACCCAGATAAACCACACCTTGTGACTGTTGTCTGATACTCACAGCTGGGTACCCAGATAAACCACACCTTGTGACTGTTGTCTGATACTCACAGCTGGGTACCCAGATAAACCACACCTTGTGACTGTTGTCTGATACTCACAGCTGGGTACCCAGATAAACCACACCTTGTGACTGTTGTCTGATACTCACAGCTGGGTACCCAGATAAACCACACCTTGTGACTGTTGTCTGATACTCACAGCTGGGTACCCAGATAAACCACACCTTGTGACTGTTGTCTGATACTCACAGCTGGGTACCCAGATAAACCACACCTTGTAACTGTTGTCTGATACTCACAGCTGGGTACCCAGATAAACCACACCTTGTGACTGTTGTCTGATACTCACAGCTGGGTACCCAGATAAACCACACCTTGTGACTGTTGTCTGATACTCACAGCTGGGTACCCAGATAAACCACACCTTGTGACTGTTGTCTGATACTCACAGCTGGGTACCCAGATAAACCACACCTTGTGACTGTTGTCTGATACTCACAGCTGGGTACCCAGATAAACCACACCTTGTGACTGTTGTCCACCATACTCACAGCTGGGTACCCAGATAAACCACACCTTGTGACTGTTGTCTGATACTCACAGCTGGGTACCCAGATAAACCACACCTTGTGACTGTTGTCTGATACTCACAGCTGGGTACCCAGGTAAACCACACCTTGTGACTGTTGTCTGATACTCACAGCTGGGTACCCAGGTAAACCATACCTTGTGACTGTTGTCTGATACTCACAGCTGGGTACCCAGGTAAACCATACCTTGTGACTGTTGTCTGATACTCACAGCTGGGTACCCAGATAAACCACACCTTGTGACTGTTGTCTGATACTCACAGCTGGGTACCCAGATAAACCACACCTTGTGACTGTTGTCTGATACTCACAGCTGGGTACCCAGATAAACCATACCTTGTGACTGTTGTCCATACAGCTCACAGCTGGGTACCCAGGTAAACCACACCTTGTGACTGTTGTCTGATACTCACAGCTGGGTACCCAGATAAACCACACCTTGTGACTGTTGTCCGATACTCACAGCTGGGTACCCAGATAAACCACACCTTGTGACTGTTGTCTGATACTCACAGCTGGGTACCCAGATAAACCACACCTTGTGACTGTTGTCTGATACTCACAGCTGGGTACCCAGATAAACCACACCTTGTGACTGTTGTCCGATACTCACAGCTGGGTACCCAGATAAACCACACCTTGTGACTGTTGTCCGATACTCACAGCTGGGTACCCAGATAAACCACACCTTGTGACTGTTGTCCAAATACTCACAGCTGGGTACCCAGATAAACCACACCTTGTGACTGTTGTCTGATACTCAACCACACCTGGTGACTGTTGTCCGATACTTGGGTACCCAGATAAACCACACCTTGTGACTGTTGTCTGATACTGATACTCACAGCTGGGTACCCAGGTAAACCACACCTTGTGACTGTTGTCTCACAGATACTCACAGCTGGGTACCCAGATAAACCACACCTTGTGACTGTTGTCATACTCACAGCTGGGTACCCAGATAAACCACACCTTGTGACTGTTGTCTGATACTCACAGCTGGGTACCCAGGTAAACCACACCTTGTGACTGTTGTCTGATACTCACAGCTGGGTACCCAGGTAAACCACACCTTGTGACTGTTGTCTGATACTCACAGCTGGGTACCCAGATAAACCACATACCTTGTGACTGTTGTCGTCCATACTCACAGCTGGGTACCCAGGTAAACCATACCTTGTGACTGTTGTCTGATACTCACAGCTGGGTACCCAGATAAACCACACCTTGTGACTGTTGTCTGATACTCACAGCTGGGTACCCAGATAAACCACACCTTGTGACTGTTGTCTGATACTCAACCAGCTGGGTACCCAGATAAACCACACCTTGTGACTGTTGTCTGATACTCACAGCTGGGTACCCAGATAAACCACACCTTGTGACTGTTGTCCGATACTCACAGCTGGGTACCCAGATAAACCACACCTTGTGACTGTTGTCTGATACTCACAGCTGGGTACCCAGGTAAACCACACCTTGTGACTGTTGTCTGATACTCACAGCTGGGTACCCAGATAAACCACCTTGTGACTGTTGTCTGATACTCACAGCTGGGTACCCAGATAAACCACACCTTGTGACTGTTGTCTGATACTCACAGCTGGGTACCCAGATAAACCACACCTTGTGACTGTTGTCTGATACTCACAGCTGGGTACCCAGATAAACCACACCTTGTGACTGTTGTCTGATACTCACAGCTGGGTACCCAGATAAACCACACCTTGTGACTGTTGTCTGATACTCACAGCTGGGTACCCAGATAAACCACACCTTGTGACTGTTGTCCGATACTCACAGCTGGGTACCCAGATAAACCACACCTTGTGACTGTTGTCTGATACTCACAGCTGGGTACCCAGGTAAACCATACCTTGTGACTGTTGTCTGATACTCACAGCTGGGTACCCAGGTAAACCACACCTTGTGACTGTTGTCTGATACTCACAGCTGGGTACCCCTTGTGCCTGCTGTCCAATACTCACAGTGGGTATCCCAGAAGTGTCATTCTGGTGATCGCTGATTGGTTTACATTTTCCAAACAGCAAAGACATCAGTTTCATGTTGCTGCCAGTGACGTAATCACAAAATGCCCCACACAGTCAGTAAAACTATGTGATCATGTATTTTTGGGTAGCGTCATCTCTTACTTGCGACTACCATTTTGTGTTCAAATAAGACATTTGTTTCATTTCAGCCGAGTAAACAAAATGGGCGATCCTTTAAGAAACGAGCTCAAGAATTTCTCTTGAAGTGGTCTTTCTTTGGAGCAAGAGTCATGCACAATTTGACATTAAACAACGCTCAAAGTTTCGGTAAGGACACAATGTCAGGCACTGTTCATGTTAAGTTTAGCCATCTTGCTCCAGGAATCTTTGGTTTACGGGAGTACAATCTAAAGTTGTCTGGAGAAGTCCCTAACAGTAAATGTCCGCAGTCGTCACGTGATTGACATGTAGGTTACGTCAAATTATTACACACATTACATCTAAGTTAACTATTCTTAAGACTATTAAATATATATCGTTAAGACTGTCGTATCCCCTAGTCTTAGTATTAGAGTCGAGAGCGTACAAGCTGGACGCAATCAAAACACTGCCAACACTTGTGACGTCACATGTAATCCTATACGTCATGACAGGCTCCTTCCACCTGATCCGGATGCTGCTGGATGAGTACGTCCTCCTGGCCGTGGAGTCCCAGCTCCACAACGAGAAGGAGGCGGAGCTTCAGACACTGCTGGACAAACACATGAAGCCAGGTAGGTGCACGCTTACATGAAGCTGGGTAGGTGCACGCTTACATGAAGCATGAAGCAGCCGGTGGGTAGGTGCACGCTTACATGAAGCTGGGTAGGTGCACGCTTACATGAAGCCAGGTAGGTGCACGCTTACATGAAGCTCGGTAGGTGCACGCTTACATGAAGCAGGGTAGTGGACAGTCACATAAAGTTGGGATGGTGAACGCTTACATGAAGCTTGGTAGGTGCACGCTTACATGAAGCAGGGTAGGTGCACGCTTACATGAAGCAGGGTAGGTGAACGCTTACATGAAGCTAGGTAGGTGCACGCTTACATGAAGCTTGGTAGGTGCACGCTTACATGAAGCAGGGTAGGTGCACGCTTACATGAAGCTGGGTAGGTGCACGCTTACATGAAGCAGGGTAGTGGACACTTACATAAAGCTGGGTAGGTGCACGCTTACATGAAAGTGGATAGTGCACACTTACATAAAGATGGGTAGTGGACACTTACATAAAGCTGGGTTGGGGCACGCTTACATGAAGACAGGTAGTGGACACTTACATAAAGCTGGGTAGGTGAACGCTTATATGAAGACAGGTAGTGGACACTTACATAAAGCAGGGTAGGTGCACGCTTACATGAAGACAGGTAGTGGACACTTACATAAAGCTGGGTAGGTTCACGCTTACATAAAGCAGGGTAGATCACGCTTACATGAAGCAGGGTGCACACTGCATAAAGCTGGGTAGGTGCATACATGAAGCTGGGTAGACAGGTAGCTGGGTAGTGGACACTTACATAAAGCTGGGTAGGTGCACGCTTACATGCTAGTGGACACGCTTACATGAAGCACGGTGGATAGTGCACACTTACATAAAGCTGGGTAGTGCACACTTACATAAAGCTGGGTAGTGGTCACTTACATAAAGCCAGGTAGTGGACACTTACATAAAGCAGGGTAGATGCATGCTTACATGAAGACAGGTAGTGGACACTTACATAAAGTTGGGTGGGTGGAGGCTTTCATGCAGCTGGGTAGCGAATATATACGTGGAGCCATGTTGTCCACACCAGCTAGGTAGTGGACATGTACGTGAAGCTGGGTAGTGGACATGTACGTGAAGCTGGGTAGTGGACGCTTATATGTAGCGTAGGTGGACTCTTCATCGGAGCCAGGTAGTGGACGCTTACCTGAACCTGGGTAGTGGACACCTACGTGTAGCGCATGTGCATTCGTTCTTGATGCCAGACAGGTGGGCTCTCCCATGAACCTTGGCAGGTGGACTCGCACATGTAGATGGGCAGGTCTACTCGCTCATGACGCTTGGTAGAATCTTCCCAGCTTGCGGTCATTGAAAAAACATCAGTGTCGCTTATAACGTATCTGATAAGGAAAATAATACACCATCTAAAATATATCTACAATGTGCCAAATACTAAGTGGAGTTATACCGATATGTTCAATGACATTTCAGATGACCAAGGCACGAAACCTATTCTTGCGCAAGGACCAAGCACGTGTTTTGTTGCCAATCCAAACAGGAACAACCCTTCGAGACCCGGAAGTGTGAAGCGCGAGAATTACCTTGACCCTGATGGACATTACAACGGAATGCACGGCCGTGACCCCTACCCAATCTCGCCTCATCTTAGTTCTCTCACCTCCATGGTAAGTGTAGAGCTTGCCTTTATATTCTGACATACCTGCGTGAATGCATTTGATTTGATTTGTTTAGCTAATTGACAGCAAAATGCGTCATTTGCACATTGAAATCCTATCGTCAGTTGTTATCCATACATTATCTTACTTTGTTATTGCTCACCAACTTCTAAAATGACAATCAAACAGATCTATCGTCAGTTAATTGATAACAGCTGCAAATATGATAACAAAACAGCTTCTTACATCAATGGTAAATGTGTACTTATGGTGTGAATTAGCCTGGTTGTAAACGTAAATATTCCTTAAATATTCGTGAAGATACTCTTAAACCTTTTCAATCCGGAACCGAGTAAATCGGACACCCCGCCTAATGGACTACTCGGAGAGCTTTTGCAAGATATTAAACAGGAAATGTTTAGACGTTAATGGGGGACGAAACTGTGTCAAGACTGCATGCCATGTTGTTCTATGATGTCCAATCTTGTGTGTAAAGGGCGGTAGGGTAACCCACTGGTACACTAAACTTCCATGCTCTTATCCATGCTCTTATCCATGCTCTTATCCGCTCATGGGTAAAATATGTAAAGACATTTTCAGATGTCCCCCGTCGTGATATTGCTGGAAAATTACTTAAACGGCATAAATCCATACTCACTCAGTCGACACTAATACGGAGCCTCTTCATCGAAACTCTTCTTCTCTCACGTTCTTCTTCTTGTAGACTGCCTCTGCCGGCAACAACCAGATGTTAACGCCACCTATCTCCCCCATCGTGGTCAACCCCATCCGCAGTTCTGTCATCAACCAGAACAACATGGGCTACAACCCAACGTCGCAGAGTGGGCCGTCATACGCATACCTAGGTAACCCATCACTTATGTTTGTTCCACTTGATTCTTGGTCAGCTTACAGGTGCCCAGAAACCTATGCTTATGGTAAGAGCCGCCTGAATGGATCAAGGGTCTCACTCGGTAATTTGATTCATCGTACCCCGACGGGAGAGATCGTTGCTACCAATATCGATCACTGCATTGTGCAGAATCGACTCGGATTATACTCGAAGATTGTTTTGCTCGGCGGAGAAAACATTACAAAGACACATTTGCTCCATCAGCGTGTGATTGGTATTTTTCAAATCCATTTATTCAGAAATAACAAAAAAAGGATTTGCTGATATTGGCATACTTTGAAGTTTCATTCAATACTGAAATTTACCCCGTCGCGGCGGAAAGGAATATTGACAGTATAACTGTAATCCAAATAAGTTATTAAATGGTCTGTGTAAATCTTGGATACTTATGGAATAGATGACAGAATTTTGAGTTTAAAAGCTTACAACTTAAGACGAAGTCCCCCACTTTACTGTAATGTCTATTTTTATCGTAAGCAGCTCAGCACGGTGATTATGGCCCCGGCAATGCACCATACATGGGTTCGGTGACTTACCCCCAGGATCCTACAGTTCAGCGTTCAGGGGTCCCCCCAACTCCCTGCCCTACAGCTCCAGTCCCTACAATTTGAAGAACGACATGGAGCCGTACAGCTACCCCGAGCAGCAGTTCCCCGTGGATGCCTACTACCCACCTTCTGGCATGACGGGATACCCACCAGTGAGCCAATCAAACTACTCGTCTCATAATAACAGTTCAACCGGAAGCGGAAGTGCATTTAATGTTGTACAAAGTACTTCCGCTTTCAACAACCCGGGCGGTTACCAGAACCAAGGTAAGAAATAACGCCGTTGATGTTTTCTTCATGCATATGTATGTATATTTCGACAATTGAATTGAATATAATTTTCGTTAACTTTTGCACTGGTAGTTTAAACGGTTCTCTGGCATACGGCTTCCGGCATTTTGTATCGTTTCCATATCTGAAAACCTGCCATCGTCAATGTTTTTAGCGCCCTGATCCAGGACACGGGACCCGGCTGATGCTCTTCGTTTTGCAGAGTTATGTCCCTTAGCTGTGTTAGGATATGTTGGTCGTGATCGATTGTCATCCTTGTTTCATTAAGCACCATAGTGTTTATTTTACAACTACGATCTGCGTCACTTTGGGTGTTTCTCACACATTGAACTGACACTCTGATATAGATGATATTTTACTCTAAGTAAACTCCCTCCCTAAGAAACTCCCTCACTCACCCACAAAGATTTGTTCCAAAATACTGATATATGCGATTTATTCACGAGATAACATTTGATATTTATGTTATTTTTGTGTCAGGGGTTAATATATTTTGTTTTATCGCTTTTTTTTCTCTCACAATATTTCTTTCTTTTAAAACACAATATATATTCCTTTCAGATTTTTCCGGGGGTCCTTCCTACCCTCAGCCCAAGCTTGTAGAACACGTATCGGTGATCCAACAGAGGCCCACGCCCAATCATTACCCAGCAGATATCGGAGATGCACCGCCTTACATCCTGGAACGAAATCACAGATCAAAGGACCCGACTTCTATGTATGGAAACGGGAGCCCAGCAACATGCCACACCCCACCTCACGCAGGTGAGGAGTACATACTCGCATATTTCAGGAGTAGATACAAACATTCTTATAAATACTTTAGTTCGTTGGTTTAATTCCTTTACTTATCAACAGTTCATTGATATATCAGCACAGTTGTTAAATATCATGAAGGTTTATATTGGGTAATTTCCTTTTCTTAGTAGGCATCGCGTATTCATTTCCTTCTTTGTATCAATTGTTCATTGATATATCAGTTCATTTGTTTAATTTCGCTAAAGTTCTTTGGGAAATGTCCTATTATAATCAACAGTTCATTGATATATCAGTTCATTTGTTTAATATAGTCAAGGTTCTGTGGATAATTCCCTCGGCTTATCAACTGTTCATTAATATGATAGCACAGTTGTTTAATATTGTCAATGTTCGCCGGATAATTTCTATCAATTATCTACGTTTCATTGGTACATCAGCACAGTTGTTTAATATCGTCAATATTTGTTGGATAATTCCCTTTACTTATCAACTGTTCATTAATATATCATCACTGCTGTTTAATATCGTCAATGTTCGTTGGATAATTCGCTTTACCTATCAACTGTTCATTAATATCATCACTGCTGTTTAATATCGTCAATGTTCGTTGGATAATTCGCTTTACCTATCAACTGTTCATTAATATATCATCACTGCTGTTTAATATCGTCAATGTTCGTTGGATAATTCGCTTTACCTATCAACTGTACATTGATGTATCAGTTCATTTGTTTGACGTCATCAAGGTTCGTTGGATTATTTGCTATATTTATCAGTATTGTTGTTCATTGGTATATACGCTCATTGCTTGAATATCGCCAAGGCTAGTTGAATAAATTCCTTCAGTATCAACTGTTCATTAATATATCAGTACATTTGTTTGATATCATCAGGTTTAGTTTGATAATTTTCTATTTTTATCAGTTCATTTATGTATCAGCACAGTCGTTTCATATGGTCAACCTCTTTTGGGGGGATAATTTCCTTTACGTATCAGAAACTTGTTCATTGATATACTACCTTATTTGTTTAATATCGTCAAGGTTCGCCGGGTAATTTCCCTTATTCATCATTTCTTCAAAATATATCAGAACAGTTGTTTCATATCGTCAAGGTTCGATGGATTATTGTCATTACTTGTCAGCTGTCGATTGTTTTACCAACTCAATTGTTTAGTCGCATCACCGTTGGTCTAGTTTCTTTACATGGCACTAAAGTTCTTGGTTCCACGATCTCACCTTTCCACCTCCCCTGTTCCAGTTCACCAGCCAGTCCACCAGCTGGGGGAGGACTTCCTGAGCATGTCAGGCATGATGGCCGGGGACCACGACATGGCCTCCTCCTACGGCGACCCCGGGCCGCTCCCCTCCATCAACACCGTTTTCATGTCCGAGGCAAACAAGGGCTGCTTCTAGTGAACCTAGTTCGGGAGGCTCTCTAACTCTTCCCATTAGACACGTGGTGTTCGGAAAGAACATGATCTCTCCCAGATACAGATGTCCTGATTTAATTGTAACATCCCTGCATAACGGATAGACAATGGATAACGCCCACCGGAATGTATGTAGATATTATCTCAATACCCAGCGGTCTCTACGTATTGGTTATCCCGATGAGTGGATTTGTTGAAGGACGATAGTCTAGAAGAACCTACCAGCAATTGCATCCCAAGTGCATGCTGGAGACTGCGGTTAGCTGGAATCTTTGTTCACAGTGGTTCATAGAGAACGAATATTGTATCGCCAGTGTGATTCCAGTGCCAATGAATGCCGTTTCTAGCCATAAATGTGCCTGATAGTTAGAGACGTGTGACACAGACGGTCAGCAGTGACCAGCAATTCGTGGAACCATGAAGCAATCGATCATTCAGATCTGAAAACATTGGCATCACTCCTGAACTTGTGGTATCATTTTACTGCACCTGATTCGGTGGGAATATGTGCTGCTCCTGGAACCTTTCAGCCAACAGGAATAGAATGAGTGGTTTGGGTTTTCGCCCCCTGAAAAAACTGGACCCATAAAAATCAACCCTACCACAAATCGGACTGACTACTAAACCGCCTTAAGATGCATACATAGACACTTCAAGACGAACTGTATGGAATTTGTGTATTAGCCGTGACCCCACCGTGCAGAATTTCTGCTGTTGGTGTTGGCAGTGCGTTGTCCATGCAAGCTTATGCCTAACTTACCCGGCGTTATAGTTGTACAGATTTGCATCCACACTGTGGAACAAACATAATTTGAAGTGTGTAATATGTAAATATATTTAGCTTTCTGCTTTATTATGTAAAGTTGCTTTTGATTCCAAATGTCTTGTTTATGATATTTATGATAGTTATGTACATATGTAGGAGTGATCGTAGATTTAAAGTGCTAATGCTAAATCTTTGCTGAAATGTCTCATAAAAATACCACGCCCTAAACCATTCGGATAAGGAGATATATATAAAACTGCGATTGTTCACAACTATTATGAAATCATAATCTAAATTAAATCGTTGTTTTACTTCACCTCCATTTGTAGAATCTTGTGGAAAATTTGCGAAATTGAAATAACCAAGACGAGAAATGCTTGTTTCAACTACAACGTCTATTGGAGCATTCAAACGTCTTAGTAGATGGTTCAAACGTCTCATGTTCCTGAAATGAAATTTATAAATAAATACGAATTAGGGTGTACTGTCCTTTTCAAGGTCGAAAAGACTATGTTCTGTCTTAAAATTATGAATATCATTAATTTTCGCTAGCTGTTGAAGCTCTATATTGAGTTACAAAACAGATAAACTATAGAAATGTAAATTTATCAGAATCCAGCATCCTTAGAAAAACAATAAAACTGGCGTCAGAATTCTCATAATCAATGTCATGTGACAAACATGTGCACACCAGTTGGTTCCTACAATTATACGGAGAGATATAATGATTACTTCCAATGTGTTGTGGTAAATTTGAGTTATTATATTCCGGGTATGACGAACTCCAGACACATTGATAAATGTTCCTTATTACCGAAGCTGGATATTGATTTGATCAATAACGTCAACGGCATTCAAAGGATACCAATGGGAACTGATTATTCATTAATAGCGCTCCGGGAGATTACGACTGGATTCGTCTTAACAGAATATTCGCGATAACCAGCTTCGTAATATCCGGAGCTGGGTAGTAGATATTAGATGACAATGTACAGGGCTGCCTACTGCCGGAGACAAAGAATATTGCGTCTTCATTGAGCATAGTTATGACCGAGTTGGATCAGATCTGAATGTACATAACGTGAACATATTATTGTTTTGTAAATAATATTAAGATAACTGTGTTTTCATCTTGTCATTAAGGCTACCATGTGCCTTTTCCTGTACTATACCCTGACCTGGGTCATGCCATAGGTTCTCCTAGGTCAGATGCTAGGTCCTTTATTCTGTGCCATGGAATGTTGATTTGTTGTTGAGTTCGGTGTGATTCCGTGTGTGTATAACGTGGAGTGTGTGTGACATTTGTTTATGTATGGCTATATCAGTTGTTGTTTTAGTTACACACAGTTCTTTTGCTATTCTGTGTACGTGACGTGGGGTATAAAGCAATAATGCAACAAAATCAAATTTTGGTAAACTGAGTTTGTACTTTTGGGGCAAGATGGAATCAAACCCTCATACAAGTGCATTGTGGTTTCAAATGTAGTCTTCGTTATATTTCCTTCCCTGTTTCTCTTCATGAATATACGGTCCAAAATTGTTCTTTCGCCTTTTGTCCCACTGCTGTCATGGTGGAACAAAGTCGACAAGGAAAGATAACTCTTATGTTAAAATCCGGAACATTTAGCATATATTTTTTCCGATCGGCCTGAACAATAATAGTTGACATAAGTTTATAATGACCCACGCGATAGCGAAAACCATTTTGATGTGTCACTGGTATATTTTCGGTCTGTGTCCAGAATCCTTTCTTCTCAATTACCTTTTGAGAAGGTTAATATGTAGCAAAAAGTAGGCCGGTGTTCGATTCTTCACATGGGTACAATGTGTGAGAACCAATACTGATCTTCAGTGCCACCATATGGCTGCATTGCAAATGGCACAAGTTCATCCCAATTTCAAATTTAATTCTAATTTGTGACAAAGCCGCCACTTTTCAAGGAGTTGCTTCAGTTAGTCGTATCAGAATCCGATGGTCTGTCCTGGTTATGGTCATCATACTCGTGTTGTTCCGTGTTGTTCCGGAACAAGCGTGCAGCTTACGGAAAGGGGCGGATGGTGACGAATATTTCCAATCAGAAGACTAGTTTTGATGCATACAGAGTTACCTCCCCAGAACAGCTTTTGTGTTCATGATGTAGAAGACGGCATATATTGAACTAGTATTTCGTCATATAACGTTACACGCTGCATGCACGACAAAAACTATGCTTGTGATAATGATCATTTTTGAGAAATTTATGTTATTTCAATGCCATGCCAAAAGAATCGCCTGCAATAAAAACAATCGCAATAGACATACAGCAATTGTAATAAAACAAGCAATATCCCCTGTTCTTATTTTCATCTTCATCCTTACACAACTGTGATTCTGTACTCTGGATTGTCACGAGACTGTGATCGGTGCCAAATAACTCGCTTTTTCCTTCATCTACCACGAATTGTGATAAAAAATGACAATCGTAAAATAATTACAAACGTAATGTTTTAATGTTATTTTCCAGTCATGCTACTAATACTGAGTGCTGCTATTGTGTCTGAAATAGAATGTTGGAAATATCAATTTTCACGTAAAATGTGCCTATTTAACTCTGTTATTTTTGTTTTATTTCTTGTTCTGTATAAATGTGTCTATTGCCATCAGGTGTTATACACAGAATGTAAAGGGCAGCGGATAATTATCTGTATTGCAGTACTGTTTTGTTGTGTTTCTGTGTCAGAACGGTCGTCGTTGACATAGATGTTGGAGGTCACTGAAATGTCTGATTAACCTATATACGAATACACAGATTGAACCTGAATAAAATTTCGAAAAATATTTACTGTTTTTTATAATATTAATGCGCCATTGAGCCCATTGTGCGATTCCGGGCACTTGTTTATGTATTATAATCACTATCAAAGTGATCATCCCAGGTGTTCGCGAAACGGTGAGTGATCCTGGTTGCACCATCACAAATCCACGCAAAGGCAAGTCAATTGTTCACTCACCAAAAACATATACGTGTGGAACAAGTCAAAATGGTGTCTTCGTTCTGCTTCGGCACACATGTATTCTCCAATTATGATGATTAATCCAAACAACAGTCCACTCGACAAAGTATCCAAGATTTATGAATCACAACTTCTCTGCAAAATTGGGGCCGTGGGGTAGCCTAGTGGTTAAAGCGTTCGTTCGTCACGCTGAAGGCCGGGGTTCGATTCCCACGACGTGATATTGCTGGAATATTACTAACAGCGGCGTAAAACCCTACTCACTCACCTTGCAAAATTTGGAAAACAGTCAACCACGGTTATAACGAACTCACTTATTGCAGTTCGTTATAAACGTAGTTCGTTATACGCATGTCGACTATAGTATACATACAATGAACTGGCCAACCAAAAACAACAGTTCGTCATATCGGTCCATTCGTTATAAGCGAATGTTACTGCACTTTACTTCTAATGAATGCCTATCACACAAAACTGTAAAAATGGTATGAAAAATAAAAACATATAAAAAAACAAAAATCACACAAAACATACAACTGTCGTTACACCATCTGATATACCGATATACACCATCTGATATACCGTTATACACCATCTGATATACCGTTATACGCCATCTGACATACCGTTATACACCGGGTTGTCCGGCTGTCGTTGAATGCCAGACATTATGATCCTCATCCTCACCGTCAGCAGCATCACAATAATTAGCATAATCTTTGAAAACATTACAAGGTGAGCAAAATGCTCAACCACAAACCACAACAGGTAATACGAAGGCAAGAATTAAATCGTACATATTTTATGGCGATAGCTATGAGGTTTAGCGCCCACAGCCAAGAGTTCAAAAGGCATTTGAAGTGGGATTATCTCCGAATCTCAGCAAGCGTCTTCACTGTGTGGGTTAATCTCTGCGCCCCCCTTTCCACGGTTTGTGTGGAAAAGTACGTAGAAACACATTCTGAGTTCTCGAACAATTTTTGCATATGTTTGATTTGTACATAAGACATTGTAAGTACTTATTTCGGAGGAACGTTAAATAGTCATCAAGTATAGGTACAACCAAGATACGTAATGATACGTATTGCTTTCCGTATTGAAACAATAAGTTAACTAAGAAATCTGAGCTAAAAAGAATTCAATGTGAAACTAAAATACAACAAGAAATTATAATACAACTGGCAGTTGCAATATACAAATAACTAGATTTACAAAATTATTTCAATTACTGCACAAGAATTACAATGGCAGTAAACAGAGCGGCAGTAAAATTTCAATATCAATACATATATGGCGGTATGGAATAAATAACAGTAGTAAAGATAACATGTCAGAGATAATATTATTCCCAGCCAACAAACTATAAAAACCATCTGAGGCTCGAAATCCAGGGTACAAATATAAATCTTCACACATAACCAGGTATATGTAATGTGAGATGCTGGAGTAACGCCCTCGCTCCTTTACAGATATGAAGCGGCTTCCAGAAACATATTTCCTAAACTGGATTTATCTACATGTATACCGTTCTGGAAGCTTCCAGGATACTCTTGACTCCCAGTCTAAATATAGTAACAAGCACATCACTCGCCTTGACTGAATCTTAACAAAAATGTTATACACTTTCGACAGTTTCCCAATAGATTACACACCATTTACTCCATGAGGTTTCTTCATGCTTGGATACAATTATCTGTCTAGATCCTTCCCACGGTTAGGACAACCCAGATGATGACTATCAAAAAGTCGAAGCAAAGACTTTAGTGATAAAACAGCTATCAGGTATGAACTGAACTGATACATGATTCAATCTGGGTAATTAAAATGATAAGTATAACGGAATCAACAACGCTCGTCATCAACACCTACACAGTAATAGTAATAGTAATAGTAATAGCCCGCTTATATGGCGCTCATATCCAGGCACATTGCCTGCTCACGGCGCTACTTACATTACTATCCCCGGTCATAAGACACTATCGTACTTTCCGATACGTTTTTCAACTCCCTGGGGATCATACAGCCATGCTGTTTGTTAGGCGCAATGAACTAAACACTAACATTGCCAGCACATCCTCACAGCCTTGGTTTCGTATACCCAGGGGCCGATCAGGTCTCGTGGGAGTTACGATCAAGTTAGTGTTAAAATGACTTAATGGATCGCCGGCCCCTCTCCCCCTTCCCCGATCTCTACCATTCCAAACTGCCTATTGACTTGAACAATGGACTCTTCCATTCACAGGTTATCTACTTCTATCAAGCCAGCCAGAACCGGTATCACCACGGGAAATGTATGTACAAGATTACACAATTACAGGTCTCGGGTATTCTGCGAAGTTCAACTCCTTAGACGACTAACCCACCCGTGTTCATATGACACAGTTGTGTTTCTAACACAATACTTAGATACTTAGAGGGTATATTGGTAATGATAATAATTACCAATAACAATGATGATGATGAATCGAGTCTGGACCAAACAATGCAGTGATCAACAGCATGAGCATCCATCTTCGCAATTGGGATATGATGAAATGTCAACCAAGTCAGCGAGCCTGACCACCCGATCCCGTTAGTCTCCTCTTACTAGAAGCATGGGAAGCAGAAGACCAACTCTAACCCATATTTCCAGGGGTCTGGTGCTGTACCGACATCTGTACGAGTACAATGGAAAGTAAATTTCCAAATTGCCCAACAGGAACCAATATCCTTCAAATGTGTAGGCATTCCAACAGAAATTGTCCGTACTGACAGGTTTGGGTTCTTAAATAAAAAAAGACAAACGAGTAACTTTCTCAACATGTAGTAGTTTGGTTATTGTTAGCTGAATGTAATGGTGGTTGTCTAAAGTCGAGCTTTCGACAGCTTTACCCCCCTGGGAGAGGTAGTCGTTTGTCAGGATCTGGTCGACGTTTTCCTGACCCCCAGGTCGGCCCTGACATGTTTGTCTGTCAAGATTTGCACTTCTAGGCAGGGCCGAAGCCTCTCTACAATTAGACCAAGCACAGCCCAAATACGAAAAAAGACCCTCCCGTGTGCCACTCTAGGCTTGTTTATTGGCTAACCGTTTGATTTATAGGAGGTTAAAATTACTGCAATTTCCTTTAAAATCTAACAAGATTAAACTGGTTGCGTTTAGCCACTGCAATATACTTTGAGATCTGTTTGTGTAAGTAATGAGAAACTAAATATTGAAAGTGTTTGATTTGTGAGGTAGAAATTGTGGAGCTTCAGTTCATTTTCAATGACTGAGATTTGGTTCTCAGTGATCTGGTATTAACCGTACAAAGGTATAGTAAGCTTGTGTTATTACAAGATTTGGTGTAAATCCAGAAGAGTTGGAATATAATATAAGCACACGTGTTAATCTAATTTTCAGAACATTAAATGTTGTGAACTCTGAATAAAGAATTTTGTCAGGTACTTTCCGGGTTCACGGCGGTTAACTTAAGTGTTTCAACTGAAGAACCTTATCGAGTTTCAGCACGATCAGGTAAGATACCCGCAAGCCCGTAACCGACTTCATTTTTGACTGTTTCATTTCATAAATCAAGAGACCGACACATAAGGTACATAAATTACTCTAACTATATGCTATAAGGCTGAAGGAAAACCCTGTCCAGGGTGTGGTACAAAGCTGCCATAGCGCTACGGGGTTTTGTTTGTTTGTTTGTTTGTTTGTTTGCTTGTTTGCTTGTTGTTTAACGCCGCACTCAGCAATATCCCAATTATATGTCGGCGGTCTGTAAATAATCAAGTCTGGACAAGACAATCCAGTGATCAACAGCATGAGCATCGATCTACACAATTGGGATACGATGTCATGTGTCAACCAAGTCTGACCACCGATCTCGTTAGTCGCCTTTTACGACAAGCATGGGTTACTGAAGACCAATTCTAACCTGGATCTTCACAGGTAGCGCTAAAGTGATCGTAACTCCCATATCTTAACATAGACTTACGACAATCGTAGCGCCAAGGTGACAGTAACTCCCATTTCTTAAAATAGACGTAGGACTGTCGTAACACTAAGGTGACAGTAACTCCCATACTTTAACGTAGACTTACGACAGTCGTGACGCTAAGGTGACAGTAACTCTCATACCTTAACGTAGACCTACGACAGTCGTAGCACTAAGGTGACAGTACTCCCAGACCTAACGTAGACTTCCGACAGTCGTAGCACTAAGGTGACAGTACTCCCAGACCTAACGTAGACTCACGACAGTCGTAGCACTAAGGTGACAGTAACTCCCATACCTGAACGTAGACTTACGACAGTCATAGCGCTAACGTTGCAACAGGACAAGGTGTATGTATTTTACACAACAACATGTTTATTCATGTGTTGTCAGTTTAAAGAGGACTAGAGCATGGTGATAAAGATTCCAGTGTTTGTTCTGGGCCAGTACGTCTACAGAAGTTAAAAGAGGTAACTGTTTGAAGGATTAATTTCTGTGCAGTCAATAACTGCTGGCTTTGTCCGATAAACATCATGTCTAAAAAGTGGCTCTATGCTTGAGAAGATGCCGTATTTTCGTTACAGTCAGATTGTGAAATCTGTCATTTCGTGAAATGACTAAGAGGATCAGCCATTTCGCTATTGGCTATGTAAATAGGTTTGGACGTTTCCATCAAATTTGATGTAAATGTTTTTTCTTTGAGAGGCATTTTAGAAGTTGGATAGATGAAGGAAAACCAAGTTCTATGGATAGGCAACTTCTTTATTGCAATGGGTGGACGTGTCGGTGTAGGTACTAACACCGTTATCAAGCAAGTGATACATAGAGTTGTAACATGGGGAATATATACATAGCTGCATAG